GTCTTAGAAATAATTCAACAGTTTGGCCAGGTAGCCGGATTCAAGTTGAATAAACAAAAAACTAAAGTTTTAGGAAAAAATTTGACAGATATGGAGAAGGAGAAATTCCAAGAGGAGACAGGGTTGACGGTGGTTAATAAGGTGAAATATCTAGGGGTTTACCTGACATCTAAAAATTTGAATTTGTATAAGGATAACTATGAAAAATGTTGGTCAGAAATTAAAAAAGATCTAGAAATATGGTCAAATTTGAAATTGTCAATGTTAGGCCGAATTGCAGTGATTAAGATGAATGTATTGCCTAGAATGTTATTTTTGTTTCAAACTTTGCAGATTCTTGACAAGATGGATTGTTTCAAGAGGTGGCAGAAAGATATCTCAAAATTTGTCTGGCAGGGCAAAAAGCCCAGAATTAAATTTAAAATATTGACAGATGCCAAGGAAAGAGGGGGATTTGCCCTGCCGGACTTAAAATTGTACTATGAAGCAGCAGCGTTTTGCTGGCTGAAAGAGTGGATGCTCCTCGAGAACACAGACATTTTGGATTTGGAAGGGTTTAATAATGCATTTGGTTGGCATGCATATCTATGGTATGATAAAATCAAGGTGCATAGGGCCTTTAAAAACCATATTGTTAGAAAAGCATTGTTTAATGTTTGGATAAGATATAAAGATCTGTTGGAAAACAAAACCCCTAGATGGTTGTCATCCCTGGAGGCTAAGGCTTTCAAGAAACTCAATATGGAGGTCGGATGGCCGAAGTATTGGGAAATTTTGGAACAGGAGGGAGATAAACTGAAATTACAAAGTTATGAGAAATTGAAGTCTAAAGTATCAGACTGGTTTCAATATTACCAAATAATGGAGATTTTCAAACAGGACAGGAAAATTGGCTTTCAGGTGGAAAAATCAAAATTAGAGACTGAATTGCTAGATCCCAACACTAAGAATTTGTCAAGAATGTATAACTTGTTGCTGAAATGGAATACACAAGATGAAACAGTTAAATCAGCTATGATTAAGTGGGCACAGGACATTGGTCATAACATTATGTTTGCTGACTGGGAGTGGTTGTGGAACACCGGTATTAAATTCACGGCATGTAATGCCTTAAAGGAAAACATTATGAAAATGACTTACAGGTGGTACATGACCCCAGTCAAGTTAGCAAAAATCTACCATTTGCCTGACAATAAGTGTTGGAAATGTAAAGAGACTGAAGGTACTTTCTATCACCTTTGGTGGACATGCCCGAAGATTAAGGCTTTCTGGGAAATGATTTATAATGAAATGAAAAAGGTACTTAAATGTACTTTTCTTAAAAAACCAGAGGCCTTCCTCTTAGGCATCGTCGGCCAATTGGTGTTAAAGAGGGATAGAACTTTCTTTATGTATGCTACAACAGCAGCAAGAATACTCATCGCAAAGTATTGGAAGACACAAGATCTACCCACTCTGGAAGAATGGCAGATGAAAGTGATGGACTATATGACATTGGCTGAGATGACTGGCAGAATCCGTGATCAGGGAAAAGAGACGGCAGAAGAAGAATGGAGAAAATTTAAAAGCTACCTTAAGGACTACTATAAACTTAATGAATGTTAGTATGTCGAGGTTTTTAGGAAAAAAGGGATACAGTGATATAAGATTAGATTATAGAAAAGATTAAGATGACAGAGGTTGGAAAGGAATATTTAGAAGTTGTTAAAAAATCATGGGCATTGGGATGCAGAAAGGGGGGGTATGGGGGAGTCACGGAAAAGAGGTTTATGAAAAAATGTTATGAAACTATACGTGTTTGTATGTCTTTTTAAGTGTTTGTTTGTCTTTAAAAATTTTTGTAAAACCAATAAAAATTTTATAAAAAAAAATATTAAAGGGATTATGTAGTTTATCAGCGCCAGTGTGTCCTACGTTGTCAAAAGCAACATCTCATACAAAATCTAAGTGACCTGTAGATAGAATCGTATGAACAGAAAACAGAGGCATATGCACCTTTGTTATCCATGAAAATCTTTCAATAAAAACATTTTTTTATAAAAAACAACAACACCTGTTTTATGGATTAGCACCATCAATTAGTCTGCACTTATCTGCATTTCGTTCACTTCAGCCATTTCCCCAATTCTCCGGTCCCAAACACTTGCCTATTCACCTGCACCTCAGCTTAGTAGTCTGTGTACCTGATGAAGTGGGCTGTTGTCCAAAACAAGTGACACCATAATCAGCATGTCAGTTTTTAAGGTGCTGCAAGACTCTTTGTGGAAAGGCAAACCATTTGGTCTTCAGATGCTGCTTATGCCAAAAGGGCTTCCCACAAAGGACCACAACATTATTTTCTTGATGTTAGTAAATTCTAGTGAACTCAGATGTTTGTTACTGAGAAAGGTAAACTAATTTAATTCATTAGGCTATGAAATCAATTGCATTTCATACCTCCAGCATCTGGGTTTTTTGGGCTGGCCCAGAGAGAAGTCCTATTGGTATTATTATTATTTATTAGATTTGTAAACCACCCTTCATTCAAAGATCACAGGGCAGTTTACAATATTAAAACACAAAATACATACCATAATAACAAACAAAAACAATACCCTCCATCTTAAAAGGCAATACAGTAGTACCTCCAGTTACGTAACCCTCTGGTTATATAAACTTCAGGATGTGAAAACAGCAAACCCAGAAGTATATTACCAGATTTCGCCGTGCACACATGCGCAGAAGCGGTCCTCAGGTTGCAGAAACCTTGGGATCCGACCAGACCTCCGGAACGGATCCCGTTCGCAACCGGAGGTACCACTGTAGATTGTTTAATTAGCCAAAGGCATGGGATGATAGGAATGTTTTTGCCACTGCAGAAAAGGCCTGTTCTTGGGTTGCCAGCCTCCAGACCTCTCATGGGAGGGGGCACACAAAGAATGCCCTCAGAGGATGGTCGCAGGGTCCAGGTTGGTTTATATGGGGAGAAGTGGTCCTTGAGGTACTGGGGTCCCAAGCCATTTAGTTCTAGTAGTCATTATGTCAATTTCCTGCTAGATGTTGTTACGTGAGTCACATGCGTTAGGCCATGCACAGCAATGCACTAGGGTGGGACAGACACCTTAATGCTCTCTAGGCAGAGGTTTTCAACCTTTTTGAGTCCACGGCTCCCTTGACCAACTCCATTCTTTGTGGGGCTCAGGGGCCCAGTTAGGTCCCCCCTTGCCTGCCGAGCTGGCAGCCCCTCACCCTTTTTGAACACCCTCCCTTGTGGAGTGTTCCCTCAGCCTCCTCGCCTCTCCCCGGGAGTCCTCTGGGCAGCTGCTGCTGCTGTCCCTGGTCTCTGAGCTGCCCCAAAGAGAGATGCCTCCTCACACTGCCCCACAGGGGCTGGGGAAGCACACCCTGGCCAGCCAAAGGTACGCCATTCGCCTGGGGAGCTTGTAGCCAGGGCTGCTGCAACAAACAGCTGTGCAAGCCTTGGGGATGCAGAGATAGAGGAGGGAGGGAGGGAAGGGAAGAGGGACAGAGGCCAGGGTGCCCACCACACCCCTGACCATCCTTCAAGGCACCCCAGGGTTCCACGAGACACTGGTTGAAAACCACTGCTCTCTAGGTACTGTTGAACTTAGAACTCCCATAAACCCATCCAACAACATTTTAGGTTAGAGAAAATGCGAGTAAGAGGTGACATGATAGAAGTTTATAAAATTATGCATGGCATAAAGGAAGTGGAAAGAACAGTTTCTCTCTCTCTATACCAGAACTTGTGGCCATCCAATGAAGCTGAATGTTGGAGGATTTAAGAGAGATTTTAAAAGGTCCTTCTTCACATGGCACATGGTTAAACAGGAGGGGAGAGGGGTCTTGTGTTTGCGTCCTGCTTGCAGGTTTCCCACAACAGGCGTTGGGTTGGCCACTGTGAGGAAAGGATGTTGGACCAGATGGGCCAGCAGGGTTCTTCTTGCATTTGAGTCCAGAGAGCACTGTGCTGGCCACCTTAACTGCAGGGTTTCACATCTGTGGTCACATTTATGGGTCATTAAAAATGAGAGAAAACCATCTGTTTGACAAAGGAGAAGGTGGATTAAAAGGCAGCAAGTTCTACATGGGCAACACTGAGGCTATGGAGGAAGACACTGGAAACGATTGCTGCTGCCGCCGCCGCCGCCATCACTCTGGACTGGCTGCAAGACGGGGTAGGCATGTTGGGGCTGATGTTGGTGGGGAATGTCCCATCCCTCCTAACAGACCGTCCTCCGTGGGTGAGCACCTGTACCTGTGGCTCTGCTTTTCTCCCTCCCGATGAACAACAACCCTGGGAGAAGGGCTGCATAGCACCAACAGCTGCTCAAAGAAACAACAGGTCAGGAAGCTTAATGATATTCATGTCTTTATTGCAATAGTTTAAAAACAGGAATACGGTACACATTTTCAAAGAGAGCTTAGCAAAATAGAGTCCATTTCTGCTGGAGGAACAGGGCGGAAGGTCATGTCTTATAGATTAAAACAGGGGATGAACATCCACAAACAAGCACAGGGCAACCTGCTGTTGAGGGCAATGTTGTAGAGAGCAACACATCAAGGGTTGTTAAATGAATGCTAGGAATGCCCAGGACCCCGGAGAGAATAGCCAGACTTACCAAGCCAACTACTGGGACTGAGCTATGGTCTGCAACAGTGTTTGCCAGCCTGGGTCCCCTCAAGGTGCTTTGGACTACAACTCCCATCAGCACAACTCCCCCACCCCACTTGACACCTCGGGGTTCGTGTGAGCCCCATGCAGGCCTACTCCTTTGGGAGGGTGGGATGCTGGCATCCAGCTCCTGGCCAAAATGCCTGCTTGTGCAAAATGCAGGTGCAAGATCCATAAAAGCAAAGCAGCAACTAGGAACTGAGGCTTCGAGACCCATCAGGGGCAGCGGCAAGGGCTCTGTGGTGGGCAGGGCAGGGCAGAGGGGCCACAGGCTGCTGGACAGGTTTCAGCTGGAGGCTTGAGGTGGCTCCTCCATTTGGGAACGGTGTGTGTGTTTGTGTGTGTGTGTGGCAACTGGGTAATTGCCTTCTAGGGGCTAGTAAAAGGTGGGCTTTTCTACTTGCCCGTTCACAGGTGCCTCTCTGCTCACCCTAGCCTGCCCTCAGTCGATCTCCAGGTCACTGTCATCGCTGAGGCAGGATGAGGAGGCATTGAGGACGGAGGTGAGGAGCACCAGGTCCTTCTCAGGGAGCAGGCCGCACTCCTGCAGGAAGCCCTCCAGGTCCCCGGCGAAGAAGTCCTCACCCAGTTGGTCAGTGATACGGACAAAGTTGCCCACCAGTTCCCCACCCTTGTAGACCAGGAGGGCCGGCAGGGCGCTGGTGGTGAAGCGGGAGCTGGCGCCGATCAGGGAGCTCCGCACTCGGCAGAACTTGACCGCGGGGTACTCAGTGGCCAGGCAGACCATGCATCCATGGAGGGAGTCGGCCCCTGGGACATCATCCTCATAAATGTGGACCATCACCAGGGTATTTCTGGGCCCCTTGTCAATGGTGTCCAGGAAGGCCTCCGCACTGTGGATCTCGAAGACCTGCTTGAAGTACTGCCCGCTGCGCAGCTGCCGCCGCATCTCCTCCATGCGCTGCTTGCGGTACTGCTGCAGAAACTCCTCGTCATCTGGGCCCTCACGCAGCGCACTGTACTCCTGCAGGGTGAGCTGGGAAAACAGGCTGCCTCCTCAGTCAGGGGTGGCCCAAGGCCCTGTGCCACTCAAGGCAGTACAGAAATTTCCACCCTCCTGTCCTCCCGTTGCCCCCTCCTCCTCCTCCCCCTCCCCCTGTCATGCATGGGCTGAGCTGCATAACATCAAGAAAAAGATGCTGATTACACAGTAACTGGAGCACTAAACAAAAGCTGCTTAAATTGGCACTTGCTGGAGGACAGCTCAGAAGCTGGAAAGGAAGTTCCCAACAAGCGAGGCAGGGCTGGCACAATACATTTTGCCACTTTAGGCAAAACAGTCAATGGTGGCCTCCTGCAGCTGCCTTTGCCTCAGGGCAGTTCCAGATAGCCGGAGGAAATGGGGGAGAAAAGAAGGATGACAGAGAGGCAAAGGTGGCAGCAGTCCTGCTCTTCCCAGGCATCCACCAAAAGCAGCAAGAGCAGGAGGTGAGCTGTGCACTTCTGGGGCCTCAGGATCTGCTGCCCCTCTCCTGAGGCAACTGCCTCACCAAGGCCAATGGCAGGCCAGCCCTTGCTACTAAGTTCCCCCGAAAGTTAACCCACCTGCATTCCTCCCTGCCTGAAATCCCCTCCCCCTGCCTGCCTGCTTTTTAACTGATTTACTCCAGAGGCGGCACAAGCACAAGACCCCAGGTGCAGTTGGGGACTCCAAGTCCCCATCCCCCTGGGTTGTGGGCCGCGCTGGTTGATGGGCTTCTAGATTCCAAAAATACCCAGAGGGCTGCAGGTTTCCCTATGCTAGCTGTGCCCTGAACACTTGGCAGCTCCACCACCAGGTGCTGAGTGCCACTCAGGGCAGGTGGTCCCCCACCAGCTGCAAAACAGCACCTGCTCCAGGGATGCCTGTGGGGAGGGTTGGAATCCACATGGAAAAGGTTGCCGGAGAGGCCCCTCTTCCTGTGCCTGTTACCTTGCCATTCAGCTTTTCCTGGAGCTCCTTCTGCTTCCGCTTGTCCTCCTCATCATCCAGGTGGGACCTGCATGTCACTGAGAGTTTCTGGATGAGGCGCTCCATCTCCCGGCACTGTTCCTCCCGCTGCTCTGTCTCCAGCTGCTTGAATCTCCTCCAGTCGTTGATCACCCCTTTGGGACCTGGGGAGAGAGGGACGGGATGAAGCGGGCAGAGACAGCAGCAACTTGCCACATCAGTAACAGACGGTGCCTGTGCCTCTGCCTCCACAGTCAGAGGCAGTGGTGCTTCTGAACAGCAGTTGCTGAAAGGCACAGGGCAGGGTGGGTGAGAGCCCTCTTGGACTCAGGCCCTGCTTGAGGGCTGCCCTTTGGGGAGCCAAATGGGGGAGTCTGGATTACCCCAGATACGAGGAGCAGGCTGGCCTTGGGCTCAAGTAAAATCCTGTATGGATTACACACACACACACACACACACACACACACACGGGGGGGGGGGGGGGGAGACACCGACACAAACAAACACTCCTGCCTGAGAACAGAGGACTCCGGAGAAACCTCCAAACATCTCAGTTGTGGATGAACTCTGGAGAGATTCAGAAGAGAGAAAAGAAACCACTTCTTCACGCAGTGCATGGCTGAACAGTTAAAACTACAGATCTCTCTCCCACAGGGGGCAGGCAATGGCCAACAGCTTGGGTGGCAAGGCTACTAGCCAGAAGGGCTAATCTCTGTCTCCACAGAGGTAGTAAACAAACATATATTACAGCGGTTTATAGCATATGATATTAACCATTAAAATGGTTAAAAACAGATGTCAGTTATAACCATTGTGGAAAGATGTATTCTTCATTGCCTGCATAGGGCAGGCGATAATAGAAAAGTTGTCAGCAGGCATTGAAAAGGTTGGCATGAATAGAAAGAGAACCTATCCAAGTGACACTGACACAAAAGCATCCCCCCCCCATCTAAAAGAATGTATTAACTGTTAACACCAGTTAGCAGAATCCACAGGAGGGATGAGTGCTCTCATGCTCAGGGCTTCCTTGGTGGTTTCCCATTGGGGCACCTGAATGGCCACTGTAGGAACAGGAAGCTGGACTGAAAGAGCTCCCCTTTTATGGGCAGGGCTCTGCTTTCGTCCCAGTCAAGAGTTAGCAGGAAACTCCAAATGTCCCATTAAAGCACAAACCCCATAAGGGGTATTTTATTTGTTTATAGAAAAATAGCAAATAAAAGTTTGTAAATTTATATGCATATGAGTATACAGTCATACCTCAGGTTGAAGTAGCTTCAAGATAAGTATTTTCGGGTTGCGTGTTGCGGCGACCCGGAAGTAACGGAGCGCCTTACTTCTGGTTTCGCCGCTCGCACATGCGCAGAGGTCAAAATGATGTCACGCGCACGTGCAGAAGCAGCGAATTGTGGCACGCGCGGATGCGGGTTGCGTTCGCTTCTTGATGCGAACGGGGCTCCAGAACGGATCCCATTCACATCCAGAGGTACCACTGTAATGCTTTTCATAAAATAATACAATACAATAAAAACCATATACAAAAGATAATACCAGAAATCAGCTGGAGAGCATTTCTGGAAAAAGACATGTCTCTGCAAAAGTCCCTGGTGAGCCTTTGGCAGTCAGAATATAAAATCCTGGGCAGAAGAGACCAATGGCTGGATTTGGAGTAAGACAGGCTCTTACTTTCCAGCGCGGGACAACTACCACAGGGAAGCTTCTTCCAGGAAGGAGCCAAGAGGTGGATCTCTTACGCAGCTTTGACAGCTGGACAATTGTTTCTAAAGACCTGGAAGAGCTACACCTTCCTGCATTTAACTTGGGGATTCCTACCCTATTTTCAAAGAAGGAAACATCTCCAACATTACCAATGAGATCGCCTTGCCCCACAAATGCCCATTCAGCTGCTTCAGTCAGCAGAACTGGCACATAATACTTGTTCCGCATTTGTAAGAACTCAATATTCTGGTGTGGCAGCACCTACACCTTAGAACTCCCTGCCTATTTGTCAACAAAAATGCTGAAAAACATTTTTGCTTGGACAAGTCTACACAGATGTTTCGAAAGCTGATGTGAGCTTTTTAATAATAATTTTTATTAATCTTCAATTGTTATCCAATAATAGCCTCATTAAAACAATACGAATTTATTATAGAATCAATAACAGCAATCATTCAAATACCAAATTATATAATTTAGATAAGGTGGCCCTCCCATGTGCTAGAATTGATGAGTTGATGATTTTCTTTATTTCTGCATTCCAAAATCTTGTTGATTTCAATTACATTCCAATTACATTCCAGTCATAATAATAATGTCACACACAGGAAGAACAAGGATATAGTTTGAGATCCTCACCTGTAGTTTTATAAATCATTTAATGTGTCAACACGAATAGAAAGCTGATGTGAGTTTTAATCTGTTTTAGTCTACTGTCACTTTAGCTTTCTAAAAGTCTTAAAACATTGCTGCTAATCCTTCTTCCTGATTTTATTTTTTTGTAAAACATTTTCAGGTGTTGCCATTGTTGTTGTTTTTTTGGCATATAAATTTTACGAAATAAAATAAAACTAAGTAAAACGTTCCCCAGAAGACTAGCCTTAAAGGATCATTTGTGCGTATTAAGTGCAACTGATCGGCTCTGCCCTAAGTTAGTTGTAGGTGAATTCAGGGACCTGGAGGAAAGGGAGGCACACCTGTGTTTACCGCACTGCCATCGCTGCTCAGCACCACGTTCCTGGGTTCCGTGGCATCCTGGGGGGAGCCATGCTGCTGATCCTCCCCCTCCTCTTCTTTCTCACTGTCCTCCTCCTCGCTGCTGCTGTAATAGTACTGGAGTTTTTCACCCAGCAGCTTGTCGTCCAGGGTAGTCATTGTGGGGAGCTGCCAAGAGAATGCACAGAGGGTTAACGGAAGCTCAGCTGCAGCCCTGGCTTTGCGTGGAAAGACCACTGGAAAACGGATGTCCGTGTTCCCCCACGATCCAACTTGGGTGGGTTAGAGTGAGCTTAAAGGAGAGGTGCAAGCTCAACCTCAGCCTCTAGAAGCAGGGAGAAAAAGCAGGCTGTGCCCCTATAAAGGTTACAGGGATGAGTGTGGATGAAATCTTGCTCAGGGGTGTGAGACCTGCCCCTCTTCATCGCTGGCTTTGAAGAGGTGGACGGGGTGCATGGCAGTCTTAAGGGAAAGGATACATTAAACTCTCAGTGACCTTGCTCAATGACTGCACTTCTGCTCCAAATACAGCCTTTACACTCCCCCTCTCTCCCACCTCTTCAGGCCCCAGAAGGACTTACCGTAATGCCCACGCCTACCGTTGGCTCAGCCTGCAAATGAACAAGCCACCTGCAAAGCACAGACACTGATACCTATGAGCACTGACACGGAGGATTCAGGTTTAGCACCACCCCTTTTTAATCCTTCCCTTTATCCTGATCTGCTCCCTCCGCCATGGATTTGCATACAGCACTCTGCTCGCCATCTGGGATGCAGTTGCTCAGTGATTAAAAACAAAACAAGGAAATGAGATTCTCCCATGAAACGAGAGATGCGAGCAGCAGCTCAGGAAACCAAAACGTAGAATAATAGCGGGGGGGGGGGGAGCATCTCTAGATCTGGTTTAGGAAATGTGGTGTGCAGGGAATAGGTTACCCAAAGATGGAGTGATGGCCCAGGGTTCTTTAAAAACCAGCTCAGGCGGTCCACAAAGGATGGGTTTCTTAAGGGTTGTTAGCCATGAGAGACAGAGTGAGCCTCCAGATGCAGAGGGAGCCTACCTCGGAACGGGGATGAACAACATCTGGCACGAGAGGATTTGCCATGAGGCACCAAGTGATGTGAGAATGAGCCCCAGGACAGAACCATGCCCATGTCACTGCAGGGGGAACTCTCTTGTCTCAAGCACGGGGCGACAGTGCACTGGCCTCCTCTCTCCAGGCCAGGAAGGATGTGGTCAGCAAAGGGGAAACATCAGCCTGGTCCAGCTGCTGGGGAATGCTGGCTGCTCAGTTCCCTCTGTGGTGAATTCACAATTGCCACAAAAACCAGGCAAAGAAGAGCCCAGCTCCAATCGTGAGCCAAAGGGCTACTAGTTGTGTGAGAACTTATGCCTCCCTCGAATGGGGTGTCTAGCCTATGGGTCAGTTGTGGCCCACGGGGACTTCTCTTTCTGCATCGAGGTTCCCCCTCCCTGTTGTTGTTTTTTAATGGTTGTGATTTTCCCCCAGTTTTATTGTTTTACCTTTTTAAAAACCATTTTGAGGGTCCTTTTTTTTTTACAGTCAAGCGGTATATAAATTTTATGGAATAAATAAATACGTATTGACTGTAAAATGACACAGTGGGTTCATTTCGATTCATTTAATAAAATTTCATTTAATAATATACATATAAAACAGAGAAACGATTACAATAGTCAAAAACTGAAAGATGACAAACTAAATAACATAAAATAAGCACATAGAATGAGCACAGTTGGGTTTAAAAATAACAAAGCCCAGGTAGAACCACAGAATTGCAGAGCTGGGAGGGATCTCGAGGGTCATCCAGCACACCCCAGGCAATGCAGGAATCCCAACAAGATCATACATGACAGATAGCTACCCACCCACCCACCCCCTCCCTGTTAATGTAAGAGATGGGGGGGGGGGGTTATATGGAAGGTTAGCCACATGAGAACTCAGGCTAAAAAGGGTTCCCCATCCCATCTAGAGGATTGTGCAGATTAGCAAACCAACCAGATTAGCAAACACATCAGAACCAATGGGGCTGACTCTGCTGGAAAACCCAGAGCAGCAGCTGTTGGAAAGAGGGAGGTGGGCAAGTCACTCTCCACGCTCTTCAAGAGGGCAGGGTGGACATTTGCAGGTTTGCAAATAAGGCCTCAGCATCCTTGCTTCATGGCTTTGTTTCCTTTAATATGTAACTTGATGGATGCTGTTTTTGGATAGAGGAAAGTATTTCTCCCTCTCTCCTAAAGCTAGAATTTGTGGACATCTAATGAAGCTGGTGGGGACGCGGGTGGCGCTGTGGGTAAAAACCTCAGTGCCAAGTAGATAAATAGGGACCGCTTACTAGCGGGAAGGTAAACGGCGTTTCCGTGTGCGGCTCTGGCTCGCCAGAGCAGCTTTGTCACACTGGCCATGTGACCCGGAAGTGTCTGCGGACAGCGCTGGCTCCCGGCCTCTAGAGTGAGCTGAGCACACAACCCTAGAGTCTTACAAGACTGGCCCGTACGGGCAGGGGTACCTTTACCTTCAGTGCCTAGGAACTTGCCGATCGCTTGGTCGGCGGTTCGAACCCCGCGGCGGGGTGAGCTCCTGTCTGCGGTCCAGCTCCGGCCCACCTAGCAGTTCAAAAGCACCCTAAAAATGCAAGTAGATAAATAGGTACCGCTTTCTAGCGGGAAGGTAAACGGCGTTCCGTGTGCTGCGCTGGCTCGCCAGATGCAGCTTTGTCACGCTGGGCACGTGACCCGGAAGTGTCTCCGGACAGTGCTGGCCCCCGGCCTCTTAAGTGAGATGGGCGCACAACCCTAGAGTCTGGCAAGACCTGGCCCGTATGGGCAGGGGTACCTTTACCTTTAATGAAGCTGAATGTTGGAAGATTCAGGACAGATAAAAGAAATAACTTCTTCACGCAGCGCAGTTAAAAATCAGCGAACTCCTTCCCCAGGAGGCAGCAATGGTAACCAACTTGGATGGATCTAAGAGAGGACTGGACAAATTCATGGAGGAAGAGAGGGCTGTTGGTGGCTCCTAGCCACGATGGCTATGCTCTGCCTCTGCAGTCAGAAGCAGCAATACTCCTAAGTACCAATTGCTGGAAAACACAGGAGGGGAGAGGGGTCTAGTGTTCAAATGCTTCTGGCTTTTCAAATCCATGAGCAACTGGTCAGACACTGTGAGAGCAGGCGCTAGACTAGATCAGCCATGGTCCAAAGGTTCTGAGAGGGACAAAGTAGGTCAGTCTCTGCCAGCCTTGTCCCCCCAGATGTTTTCAACAACAGCTGCTGCCAGAACCAGCCAAAACATCTGGAGGACACCAGGTCGGCAAAGACTCCGGTAGGCTGTAGGGTTCCTGTAGTTTTGTTGTGAGGGATGCACAACTTTTACTGTGAATTACTGAGATCAAGGCTATGGTAGTTTGTTTTTTTTTAGTTTGTTTTTTAAAAGAATGAGATCAAAGGCACACTATTAAAATGCATTTCCTGTTAAGCCGAACATCTGCTGCTGCTGCTGCTTTGGGAGATTTCGACCTCTGAGCCAGGCTCTGTGCTCCCATTTCATGTCCTACATAATCTAGGTTTAAGGATGAAGAGAAATGAGGTAGAGTACAACGCCAACACTCCCATTCAGTATTGCAAAAATAAAGGATGCAGTGTGTACTTGGGGGGAGATAGGCACACTAGCCCTACCCCACATTCTCAATGATGCTAACCTTAAAAAACAGCAACTGATTTTGCTATACCAGCATCGGAAGGCAGAAGAAGAGGAGGAGGAGGAGGAGGAGGAGGAGGAGTTTGGATTTGATATCTCGCTTTATCACTACCCGAAGGAGTCTCAATGCGGCTCACAATCTCCTTTCTCTTCCTCCCCCACAACAAACACTCTGTGGGGTGAGTGGGGCTGAGAGACTTCAAAGAAGTGTGACTAGGGCGGGCCGCAGTGTTCCCAACCTTGTGCCTCCAGCTGTTTTTGGCCTACAATTCCCATCATCCCTTGCCACTGGTCTTGCTAGTCAGGGATGATGGGAGTTGTAGGCCAAAAACATCTGGAGGCACAAGGTTGGGAAACAATGGACTAGGCCAAGGTCACCGAGAAACCGCATGTGGAGAGTGGAGACAAGAACCCGGTTCACCAGATTACGAGCCCACCGCTCTTAACCACAACACCACACTGGCAGCCCTGTATCTGGAAGGCTTTAATGTTTGATGTTTTGTTATGTTTTATATTTTGTTGGAAGCTGCCCAGAGTGGCTGGGGAAACCCAACCAGATGGGTGGGGTATAAATAATAAAGCTATTACCAAAAGCACATGCATTGTCTCTTTTTTCAGGTTGTCTTTTCTACATATCAGTTACATTTGTTGTGAGCCATTAGTGTTGTATATACTGTAGTTAAAGGGTCGGGGAAGAAAAGAGGGGTGGGGAGAAGGGGTGGTTGTTAAAACTTATTTTATTTGGTGTACAGTCTGTGTCAGAATTTGCGTCAGCGTCACTTGGGTAGTCACTCTTCCTATTCGCTTATTGTATGTATTTCCTTTCTAGTAAGGGGGGGCGGGGAGCCCAGGGCGTGGTTGGCTGTCTTCCGCTTGCAGCAGCGAGATTTGTTTGCGGGGGGGTTAAGTCAGACCACAAGAATCCACCGAAAGCATGCCAATCAATATGTTTTTTCTATGTTTCTGAACTTGACCCAGCCAATTAATGCCTGCGATCTATGCAAATCATAACAGGGTCCACCCAAGAGAAAACGAGCAGCTGAGCCTAAATAAGGAAGCCTGGATTTAGCCTTCCTCGACTCCCGGAGGCCCCAGCCGACTTCCCCCCTGCAACCAAGCGAGCGCGCCCAACCCAAGGACCCCTTTGAGCCCGCGCGGGCGAGCCCAGCCCCCTCCCTGCCCTCCAGCCTGCCTCCCCCCGCACGAGGAAGGATTAAGCTGAGATGGAGCAGGAGCGGAATCTTCTCCCCCCCCCGCCCTTCCCCCTTCCATGCATCTATCTCCGCTGCCGCCCCCCCCGCCTCCCCCGCGCCAGAGGTGCTGCAGGGGTTCAGAGTGGGGGGGGCTAAGACCTGGGAGACCAGAGATCGAGCCCCCCTCCCCATCCCTGGGCCGCGGCCACGCGCTCTCAGCCTCTACCTGCCTCGCAGGGCTGGTGGTGGAGTTAGATGGGGAAGGGGGCGACCGTGCGCGCCCCCTTGAGCCCCCCGGGATGAAAACTGGGGGGGGGGGCAGGTGCGACCCCTAAATGCAGAGGAAGCTGAGGCGCAGAGATGCCCTGGGGCATCGCCCCTCTGCAAAGCGAGCCAGCCCCCGGCACGATCCCGCTGCCCACGCGCCACAGGAGACCCACCGCTGCCCCACACGACGGAGGACCCCCCCCGCCCCAAATCCCCCCTTGTGAGCCAGACACCGCCCCCCCCCGCCTTCCCACATACGATCCCCACACACTCCGCCCCACGGGGCTCTTCTCTCAACCCTTGCTATGCCCTCCCCACCCCCCTTGCTATGGGGCGCCCCCCAATAACAAAACAGCCCCACCCTCTGTCACACACGGGGTGCTTAACCCTTTCCTCCCCCCCACGCGCGAACGGCGACCTCTGTGGGGCAGAGGCTCCTTCCTTCCTCCCCCCCCCCCAGGGCTCCCCTCGATCGTCGCACTAGGGATCGGTACCCGCAACCCCGGAATCGGGGCCCCTTCCCCCTCCTCACCGGGATCTGCTCGCTCTCCCTCAGTGTCTCTCTCGGTCTCCTAGTGACAGGAGGAGGCGAGGGGAGGGGGAGGGAGCGGGAGGCGCGGGGCGCAAAGGTTGCCGGGACGAGCTTCCCCGGCACTAAGAGGTAAGGTGGAATAGCAGCCTGCAACTGCACTTGCTGCCGGATCCCTTTCGGCCGATGCCGCCCGTGGACCGCACCATGGAGGGGGAGGGATGGGGGAGATCAGCCCTGCTCCCTGTTGCATAGCTGTCAACGTTTCCCTTTTCTTGCGAGGAATAGCTATTGGAATAAGGGAATTTCCCTTTAAGAAAGGGAAACGTTGACAGCCATGCTATTGTTGTTTAAAAACCCTTCATAGGAGGATCACAGGGCAATTTACCGCATGAAAACACAAAAATGCATAGCAACAAAAAACAGTTAACCCCCCCCATTATTTTTTTTAAAGGCCTGGGAGAAGAGGGCTGTTTTTGCCTAAAGATATGCAATGAAGGTGCCAGGAGAGCCTCCCTTGGGAAAGCATCCCGCAAGCGGGGAGCCACTGCAGAAAAGAGCCCAGCTCTACACTGCCACATCCTCTTTCCCTATTTATCTGCAACCAAACATCTCTTACAAGAAAGCCCTTCTTTGTGCAGTACGTAGTTACTTCCTCCTGCAGGAGGCAACAATGCTCACCAACCTGGATGGGCTTAAAAGAGGGACTCGGATAAATTCAGTGGAGGATAACAAAGCTGTCAATGGCTACTAGGCCACGACGTGTCCAGGACAGCTGTCTACCAGCTCCATCTGGTACACAGGCTGAGACCCTACCTGCCTGCGGACTACCTCACCAGAGTGGTGCATGCTCTGGTTATCTCCCGCTTGGATTACTGCAATGCGCTCTATGTGGGGCTACCTTTGAAGGTGACCCGGAAACTGCAACTAATCCAGAATGTGACAGCTAGACTGGTGACTGGGAGTGGCTGCCAGGACCATATAACACCGGTCCTGAGAGATCTGCATTGGCTCCCAGTACGTTTCCAAGCACAATTCAAAGTGTTGGTGCTGACCTTTAAAGCCCTAAATGGCCTCGGTCCAGTATACCTGAAGGAGCGTCTCCACCTCCATCGTTCAGCCCGGACACTGAGGTCTAGCTTTGAGGGCCTTCTGGTGGCTCCCTCACTGCGAGAAGCCAAGTTACAGGGAATCAGACAGAGGGCCTTCTCGGTAGTGGCACCCGCCCTGTGGAATGCCCTCCCACCAGATGTGAAGGAAATAAGCAGTTATCTTTAAAAGACATCTGAAGGCAGCCCTGTTTAGGGAAGTTTTTAATATTTAATGCTGTATTGTTTTTAACATTCGAGTGGCTGGGGAAACTCAGCCAGATGGGTGGGGTATAAATAATAAATTATTATTATTAATATTATTGTTGTTGTTGTTGTTGTTGTTGTTGTTGTTTGCCTGTGCGGATGGAGGCAGCAGTGCTTCTGAAAGCCAGTTGCAGGAAACCACAGGAGGGGAGAGCACTGTTCTTGTGTTTGGGTCTTCTTTTTCTTGCATTCCCCATAAAGAGGGATTGGTTGTTAAAGCACTTTGGGAACCGCAGCACTGGGAGCGGGTCTCCTCACAACTCTCAGCACCCTTTATGGATTCTTTTTTATGGGGGGGGGTGGAACTGTGGCTGTTTTAAAGTGGATTCGTAGTACTTTAAACATATAATGTGAATAAGCCAGAGCAACATTTTTCATGTCGTTCCTTTTATGGGGGCAGATTAGAAGTTCACTGTTGTGATGAGATTTCATACATATTGTTCCATTCTCCAAGTAATGAGAAACCCCAGAGGTTCCAGGCGCTTACCCAGGTTCGGTTTCCTTGGAATGAAGGTCATCAGGGACTGTGGTGTATTTAGGATACATGGTTTATTTACACATCTATACAACCTGAGCATGAGATGGAGGGGCTCACAGCATCAACACCCCAATGGGTCTTGCTTCTCCATCAGCCACATCTTTGGGTCCAGCCCAGAGCAAGCGTGTCTCTGGGTCTCCAGCTTCCAGCCTGCTTCCAGCAAGTGTATCCCTGGGTCTACAGCCTCCATCTGTTTCCAGCTCAAACACAATTCTGGCTATTTTCCTACCCTAAGAAAGTGGGGTGGATGAAAGGCCCATCCATTAGCCTGCGAGGCACCATCTCTTAGCTGCTGTAGCGCTTGCAACAAAGCTCATTCAAAGTTTATAAACAAACATTTCAGGCCAGTTCAGCAAACTCCTTTATTAGATTCTGTCGCTGACCCCAAGAATTGGAAGGGCCTCAAGGCATCACCCAGACTGACCCCGCCCCCAAACCCACAATTGTGACTTATCCATAGGAAAAGCTATCATGTTCCAGCAGAGATTACCTGTCCCAGGGCCAGTCCACTCTGCTTCAGAAAGGACTTTCCCACCCTCTGTTGCCCAATACAACACCAAAGCATGTGATCTAACTGTGCTAACAGTTTCCACCTCCAACCTCAATGTGCAAAAATTGAGACAACCCCCCACCTCCACCCCTGTGTTTAGAGAAGAAGGCAATACAAGTTAAGGTGGACAAAATGTTTTATTTTACGGCATGCAAATACATGTCAAGTACTGCAAACTTTTTTTCTATTAATTCTCTCTCAAACACTGAAAAAAACCACGATTCGCTAAAGTCCGTGTCCAGCCCAAAAGCTAATTATCTTTTCACTTCAGTGCAACAGAAAAGACACGCACACAGACTTCACTCTGCTATTCAGGCTAAATCACAAAGCCCACACCCATCACTCAAACTTCCCTCCCCAAAAATACAGACCGTACGGTCTAAGCTTTCCCATGTAAATCCTATTCCTATAACACAAAAGGGAAAAACAACAGAATTTGGAAATTGAAAACGGAACTAAATGGAATAGAATTCATCCCCCGCCCCAAATAGATCCCTTTTTTATTTTACAGATTTTTTTAAGTTAAATATTTTTTTTTAAATAGAAGCTGAGTATGCATCATTAAAAATGAGGCATTAAATCCACCGTAGCGATGGTGTCTGCTTTATTATACATGATGGGTGTACACCATCTTTTATTTCATTTACATTTCAATCGAACAATAGATTTGCAAAGAAAATGTCTAATACAGACGTAGAAATATTCACACTTCAGCTTCACAACCGGTTGTAGAATTGACAAACAGCCCTCTTTTCCCAAACTTTCTGGGCCAAGCAGGTTTATAAAATGTTAATCAACGCAACAATAAAAGAAAAAGTGGTGTTTTTCTTTTCCTTTTAACTTCCAGGGAAAAGAATATGTAGTATATAGTATAAATGCAGACAGCAGATACTGCAAGCTAAACCACAATACTTTGGAGTGGCTGTACAGGGTGTGTGTGCAGTACAAAGAAAAGCCACGCATGTTGTATCACAACTACAGTATAATCTATTTGTCTGCACAGATAAGGAAAATGCATGCATCCCCGTGCCTTGGACTAAATAACCGAGGACTCTCTCTGGGTAAGCAGGTGGGACCTGTGCAAAAGTGCCCTGTTTTCTGGCACTCAGAAACACAGCCAGAATTGTTTTTAATTCAAACTCTGTCAAGTATATAAAGTGTCCATTAAAAAGCTTCACAAAAGCCTGTGTGTGTGGTGGACAGGTATTTGCTCTCTCAGTTTTGGGGCTGGTGGGATGCTCACAGTTTTGGCTCACTCCACTCCAGCCACCCCACTCCACCCTTACGCGTGGTAATATCGCTTTGCCAGCAAAGCACCATGCTGCTGCCTTTCCTCAGAGCCAAGGAAGTGGCTGAGAGTTCAGGCAGGGGAAGAACACGCTCCAGCAAAACACTGTGTCATGCCATGTTATTTGCAAATTCAGTCTCTAAATACAGAACTCCTAAATACAAAGGGCTTAAAAATAAACATCTCCCACAGGTAGTGAATGGCTGGCTATTGCCTCCTCCCCAAATAATATTGGGGTGCGGATGCAAGCACTTAGATTGAACCCTTTGCAAAGCAGGCCAGGCTTAATCAAATACTGAGAAATGCCAGCCGCTCACAAAATTAGACATGAAAACTGCTCACCACAAGAAAACCCACAGCCAAGCCGCATGGAGTTTTTGTTTGTAAATGAAGTTTATTTCACAACAGACCTGGCTTTCAAATTATCAAGAAAGAATGGAAGAAAGGATACTACCAGGACTTCTGTTCTGGCATGTGCCACAAACACTTTAGGCAAGCACTGTGTTCTACACTCCAACTGTCACCAGGTATTAATTTTGAACAGCGCATCCGGCAGGGACCAGTGGTCAAACCAGGCCTATCACAGACCTGCCACTCTCCCTTAGCACAGGCCAGCGGCTTCTCTATGCAGCTCAAAGTCTCATCTACCATCACACTCAGCATTTGTTTCACATCTGAAGCTTGGCTACCCAAAGCACTGAGTCAAAACAAAGGGGGAGAGGAAATGCACATCATGAGGAAGCACAGCTGAAGTTTTTCTTGCTACCACAATTACCCCCCCCCCAGTATGCGTGCCCCCAATCCCCCCTGCACCTGCCTACAAAAATGCCACCTGCTGGCAGAGGGCAGGAGCCACCCTCCTCTGCTCTCTCCTCTGGTTGGCCTAATATTCTAAAGACACAGCTGCAAAGCAGGCTATGGGTGCTGATTCATCTCAGCACCCATCCCTCTGGCTGTCCCAAAGACAAGGGGTGCAGAGCTTCTTTGGGCCCCCCCCCACCACCAGGTGCTGCTGCAACACAACTCCCATCACCTATGACTATTCTTGGCCATCTTGCCTGGGGATGGTTGGTGGTGGCTGGGAGCCCAAGGGCATCCAAAGGATGTACCATAAGTTGACTGCTCCACACCCAGACAGGCTAGTTTGTACAAACTGCTTTGGAGGTGGACAACGCCCTGCCAGAACGATGCCATTTCCATGGCGAGAAAGTCCCAGCTGTTTCATTGAGCCTGCAATTATCTGTGTTGAAGATTTAAAGTACAACCTTGGAGCAGAGGCTTCCTGTCAAGTGTGTGGCCCTTTCGACTAAACTACTGTAGTGCAGGAGTTCTCACTACCTCTGCCAAGGAAGCACAAAGGCAGCTCGTTCCCAGTCCAGGTGGTAAAAGGACAGCAGAAATATGGTGGCTTTTAAAATTATGCGATGCCACTGGACAAGTGAACGAAGAACTGTAAACAATTTATGCCACGCCCCCTTCCCCAGCAGCACAACCAAGGTCTTACTATATATATTCACCCTTGGATTGTACTGGCGCCTGGGGGAGCTCCGGTTCACAGAGGGGCTATTTCCCTGAGGGCAAAAATGAGGATCTCTCAGACTTCTAATATTCGTCTATTTTTGCAATAAAATAGCAATTCATTTTCTTCCTCCTTAAAAAACACGTCACCTGCAACACAGAAGATCTTATTGTTTAAATATCCATGTAAAAGAGAGAGAGAGGCTGTTTTGCATATATCTCTATATATCTGAAGTTACATATAGCGCAAAAAAACAACTTTTGGAAGCATTTCAAATGTAATATTTATATATACAAGATTTCCCAGCTGGGTCAGAGAACACAATAACAACCCAAATGGCATTCCACACCAAAATCAGTTAATCTTAACAGTCACAAGTTTAAAGAAAATGGGTACTTTAGTCTCAAATCCCCAGCTGCCCTGTTTCCCTTGTTGCAGGAGTGAGGTGGCAACAGGAGGAGGAGCCTGAGGAATTGTCCCATGAAATTAAGAGAAGGGATTTGGCTGTCCTATTATAAATAGCTCTTTGTGCCTTAGTATTAAATAAGTGGCCGGGGTCTTTCACAACATCACTGGAATTATATATATTATATAAATATATATAAACTAATGCTTGGATTTTTTTTTTCAAGATAATAATATTTACAACATAATTTTTTTCATGAACTTTCAAGTCAGCAGATATAAAATAAAAAAGGATGCAAGTCAGTACAGTAACCCTCAGAGAAATGCCTGTTTTTGCCCCACCCCTAATCCAGAAGTGTGCACGATGAAGTTTCTTAAAAAAGGAAGTGAAAAGAAGCGGCCTGATCCTGCACACGGGGTGGCATCCCAAATAGTCACCGGCTCTGTTTTGCCAGTAGTAACATGATCGTCTCTTTTACAAGCCATTTGCTAGTGGGACGAGCCCTTGAGTACAGTATACCTGTGAAAATGTCACTTGGCTAAAATATCCCAGTACAATTCTCCAAGTAAACAACTTCACAGAAGTTAATTATCAAACACTGCAAAAAAAGAAGAAGAAGAGAAGTAATGCAAAAATCAGAACTAGAAAGCCATAGAAGACAAATGAGGAAGGTCTTATCTTGCCAGCAAGCATTCTTTTGCTCTACCACCTTCTTCTAGGTGCCCGGAGTTTCTAAAGCAAGAAAGTAAAAGAAAATACGGCTCAGGGCCCAAGAGGTGTGTGTTCTTATTTCAGGTGATGGCTCCCTACTTACGTTTCCTTAAAGTCACATTTTGAAAAGACACATTTATTCGTTGTTCTGTACAAGCCGAGCTAAAGCTATACCATTAAGTGTTCAAGGCCTTGTCAAGTGTCAGCAATAAAACCTAAACACTAAACTTCCCAGTAATGCTATAATCAAAACAACACAATGAATGTCAAAAAGAACTGCTAATCACTTCTTATTTGAAAAGTACATCAATAGCAATACTGTGTTGTCAAGTCAGTGCAAATGTGACAGAAAATGTTTCTTTTGCAGGGAACGGCTGATTGCTGAGGCTCTGGGGACTGATCTGGCCGAAGGAGCTGCACAACTCGGAGCCCAGGGAACAAGTGCAGTGCGTTCTTGGCCTTATCCACACTTAGGTTTTACCCTGCTCTTTCTAGGCAGAGGTCTACACTTTAACGAACTGCGTCTCAGTGGCTTTTTGTGGGGGTTCTGCCCTAAGCTTTCCCTGTGAAAACCTGCTCTTCAAATATGAATTAGAGCAAACACCCATTTGGGTTTTCTGCAGATTGCTCTTTGCACTTGCTGATCTTTAAAGAGCGGGGGTTTTGCAGAGAAAACTCCAGAGGGAAAAAAAAGGGGGAGGGATCCCCAGATTGTGCCTGGAAAGAGCAGAGGAAGGTGCCGTACTTTTCCATGTATTAGACGAGGGGGCTTCTCATAGACGGAAAAGTACGGTCAGTGTGGACAAGTCCGTTGTTGTCGATGTAACAATTCTGCTTACAACTCAAGAGCAGGTAAAGAGACAGAAGATGTAAGCACTAGGATGCAGGCACTTCGATTTTGCACTCTATTATTTGTACACAGGCAAGTTGCTTGATATGTGGAAATACCAAGCTCTAAATCAGAAGAGGGGTAGGGTAGGGGAAATGAAGGGGGGGGGCCAGACAGGAATATGCAAAGTGCTACACTACTGCATATAATGCAGTCGTGCAAAGATAAAAAGGAAAGAAAAAAGAAAAAAATGTATCAACCCTGAATTAAGTCTTATGTTAAGAGGATCCCCAGCCCACCTCTCTCTTTCTCTTTCTCTCTCCTCTCACATGCTTATTTCATGCAAAGTTCCACAGCTGAAGAAACAAGCAACTGCAACCAGATACAAGTTCCTCTCTCATGAAACAAAACAAGGCAAAACAAGTGAGTTCTATTCCCATGAGTCACTTCACCCCGAGGATCTGCTGGCTTCAATGAACTAACTTGCAAATTTATCTAGAGAGGCTGTCTCTCAACAAGAACGGCTCAGAAGGCGCCCTGGAATTTCCACAAACAAATTAAAAAGCTGCTCTTAAGCTTTTTACAAACCACTTGTGGAACGTGAACACCTGAGCCTAGCAAAGTGGTTTGTTTTCTCTTTTCTTTTTCCAGAATGCAAAGTTGAGAGGGGCCTGATGTATCAAAGAGTCCACAGGAAACAAATCACCCCAATAGTATTTTCTTAAAAAATATATACATTATATAATATAGTGTAAATGCTGCCTTAGCATGATCACGAGCTTGAAAACGTAACACCTCTCAGCTGTTAACCATCTTGCCATTTGCCACTGGCCTTAAAAAGTCACTTTTCCCTTCTGCCATGATGTGAGCTGCTGTGAGGCTGTGGGCTGTCTTGAGAACGAGGCTGCCCACTCCGGAGGAGGAAGCTGTGATGGGCAGGGACGTCACCCCGCTCACAGAGGATGCCGTTGGCTGGCTGAAGCAGGTCATTGGCAGGGCTGCTTTCTGCTTCTCCCTGGTGATTTATTTTGGGTGGGGGGAGGGAGGGAGGAGAGGGGAGAAGGGGGAAATAAACCCTGATCATTATTTAAAATAGAACACAGGAATTTCAACATTCTCACAGCAATCCAAGGATGTAAAAAATAAGGGACAGTGAATTATCCCTGATAGTTTTGATACCATAGTTGAGTTGTGATTTTTCTTCATTTTTATTACTTATCATGACAGATAATGAACGGATGGGTTCTGACAGAGGGGGGGGGGGGAAGCTGTGTTCATTAACCCTGAGCTCTCACACTGCTAATAACCCAGAATCAGTAAATTTCTCTCCCTTCTCTGTGGAGCCACTGGTGTAACTCTGGAGCCTCTTGAGAGAAGCTAGCAGCACAGCAGTGGCCAGAAACGCTGTTGTGCCATCAGTGCTCAGAGCCATTTCCTTTCTTCACTCATCACAGTGGCTGAAGGGCCGCTGCAAATGAGTGGGAGAGACTTGGAGGAGAGAAGGGAAGAAGAGAGAAAGAGCCTTCCCTGTGTTGGTGCCCTCCATACATTTCGAACTGTAACTTCTATCAATTGCAAGATTGCATGGGGCTGGTGTGAGCCACAGCCCCCAAAATATGAAGGGCTCGGACTGGGTAAGTCTAAGGAGTAAGAAAGAAGAGACCAGGCAAGAGAAGGCCAGCATTCGGCAAGGAAGCATGGTGGATTTCTCCACTAAAAAGACCACCGCGGTGCTTGAGACAGCTTTACTTGGTCAGAACAGCAGTGGCTGCTGGGGAACCCACAATAGTGGAGCCCATGGGGTTACAAATCACACAGGCTTATATAGCCATCCCTTCGCCTTAGCTCTACACCAGTATGGAAATTAAGTCATGTTCTCAGAAGAAAAGCATGCCTGGATTATTGGAGCTGGATGCCTAATTCAGCAAGGAGAGTAGGGCGCAGATTTTCTAGCAGGCTAGCTCAAGGAGGAGTCCTTCCTGCACAGAAACGATCAACACATCCTTTATATAATGTGAGAAAGCAGATTCTTTCCTCCACTTTTGTGAGTTTCCCAGCAGTCACTATTGTCCTGATCAGGTAAAGCTGCCTTAAACATTGCAATGGTGCACTTATTGAATAAATGTGACACAGGGGACACCAGGAGAGACAACAGAGGCTCTGTATTGGGGCACAGAAAGCTTCTGTTTCCGTCTGACACTCACAGAATAGCAAGGTCTTCACCTAAGGTGGGCCTCGCCTGCTGCCTGGGCTCTTTTGGAGGCTGCTCCAGAGGGTGGCCATTCTCCAGAGCTGACCCGTTGAACAGATGATCATCCTGGTCGCCAATGCCAAGCTGCAGGCTCAGAATCTCCTGGAAGTAGGAGGACAGCGTTAGCCGTGTGGGAGTGGGGGGGGGGTGCTGCCAACCAATCAGAACTCCTGCACAAATGATGGAGAAAGGTGAAGTGGAAATGGCCTTGCTGAGAAGGAGCTAAGAGGCTAGAGGGCAGACCCTAAAGCTCCCTGCCATAGCCACCAGGGATTCTTTGTGGCCAGTCCAAAATATAGGGGAGGGAGGGTCCAGGGCCAGTGTTAGGGGTATGTGCTCTGCACATAGAAGGTCCTGGGTCCAATCCTCCACCTCTACATTTAAAAGTGACTTAGGGAAGTGGGGCTGAGAAGACCCAGATCTGAACTGATGGAAAGCTGCTGCCACTCAGGGTAAACAGACTGGACCAGCAGTTTGACTCAAAAGTTCATGCAAGACACAATTCTACGGAACGGGGAATCAATACTCAGAATTTTATGAACATCTCAGTAACACTGCTGTGTCTGAACTGGGAGTCTGGCAAGGCTGGGATTCAACCAGAGTTTTGGTCTGCTTTACATGGAAACTTAATAGGAGGGCCACCAGCTCCGGATTTCTGGGATAGTACAGGATGCAAAGACACAGACACATAGGCATGTTCAGTGAATCAAGGAAACGGCAGTGTTCATGTACCTCAATTTGCTCTCCCTGCCCACCAAGCTCATCGGCATCGAGGGCTGACAGTTCCAGTTCAATGTCTCGGTCTGGCTTTGTGTCTGCACCGTCCTCCGGATAGTCAGACTAAGAAGCAGGATAGGAGTGGGGGGAAACAGACAAAGCACAGCTGATTTAAAGAAAGGGAAAGAAAGGTCTTTCTATGAGATCGCCTTACGGCCACTCAATCAGCTTCAATCAGCAGAACCAGCACCGTTGTAGGTGCCACAGGCCACCTGCTCCACATTCAAAAGAACTTGATATTTTACTGTGGCAGCATGCACACCCTGAAACTCCCTCTAGGTGTTTTCACTGTACTCTATCTCTGTTGTTGTTTTTTTACTGTTAAAAACAGTTGTGTTTAGGTAAGCCTGTCCAGATGTTTAGAAAACTGGTGTGAGTTTTAAACTGTTTTTAGTTTATTATTTCAGCTTTTCAAAAATCTTAAAATTATTGTTAATTCTTCTTACCGATAATTTTATTTTTTTCCTTTTCCTTAGGCTGCTTTGATGTGTGTGTGTGTGTGTGTGTTTACAATCAGGCGGCATGCAAATTTTACAAAATAAAATAATAAAATAAAAGTTAGGGACCTGGCTCTTCCAAAATGCCTAATGGTTAGGGGCTAAACTAAAAACAAACAAACAAACCCATTTTGACAAGGTCTGGGTCCCCATGTGTCAGCTATGTAAATAGAAGTACATTCATGCATACTTATGGAGAAGATATGTCGCAGATAGCTGAAGCCTTGACGATGAGTTCAGTGATTCAGTTACATGGCAGTGTCCCACCTCCATTTCCCGTCTTACACGTGACTGACATATGCAACGTGTAGCCACTCAACAGGTTTGGCTGAAGCTGATAAATGTCATTTGTTATGCAACCAGAAAAACATTACTCAGAAAAAAGAAAGGGAGGGAGGGCAGTGCTCCAGGAGAAGGGCATGGTGTAGAGAGATTACCCCAATGGTAAATAAAGGAGAAGTAGCTGCTGTTCCTGTTTCCACAGAAAATGGGGAATCAGGCATACAAGAAACTGGAAGCTCATAGTGTGTCCCTCAGCTGCAGGCAGAAAGTGCTTCTGGATTACCAATAGTCATTCATCCTGATTTGTTTGGAAGGAGATTAGACAATGTTGGCTATTGTATGAGCATTCTCTCCTATTTGTTTGCAGGGAGGTTAGAGATGCTGTTGCATCAGGGCAGGTCTCACCCTACACTTTCCCAGTGCATCTTCGCATTCACTTTCCTTACTGAAAAAAGTATTGACATTTTGGGGAAGCCTGCCTGTTGCACAAGACCTTGCAGCCAACTATAACTGCATGACCTGGATTTGCCCATAAGTGGCAGGTCCTGCCCTGTTTTGCATCTGAAGTGACAAATATATATGCTGCTGAATCAAACCCTAACTCAGGCACTGCTTTCCCCACTTGCTCTTGGAGGAGACCTGCCCCTTGAGAACACAAGGTGCCCTTCTAGGACCTTTGCAGGCTGGCCAAGGAAAAGAGTGGGCACATTTCACACAATGCCATTTCCTTCTTACTGAAGTTGCCCCTTCCTTTTAAGTTTAGAGTAGCCAGGCTCAATCTCAGGCCAAAGACATTTGTGGAGCTGGAACACTTCTGGGCATTACATGGGAAGACAGAGAGTGACTAACTGGGATGTGTCCAAAGGAGAACGTGACAAAGATGGCGAGTCAGCTAGTTTTGTAGGTGGGAGTGTTTATATTATTTACTTATTGTGTTTATATCCCACCTTTTTCTCCAAGGAGCTCAAGGTGGGTCTCCCCTCCTCATTTGAGGTAATATTGGGCTGAGAGGCAGTGACTAGCTCACTGAAGCCAAGTGAGCTTCACGGCCGAGTGGGGACTTGAACCCTGGTCTCCCAGGTCCTAGTCCAACACTCTAACCACTATGCCACACTGGCTCTCAGCATTGCTCTGCTGCTCATCTTCGTTTTGCTAATGTTTTTTTATTACTGCTATGCAGGAGGGCTGGTGTTCAGTTTTTGTTTTCCAAGTATGCTATATGGAATATTTATGGGTTACGTGATTCCCTAACCCCTTTTCTATTGTATAATACACTTATGCATATTCATTTCTTTGCAAGTTGCTTGGAGACCATTGGGTGGCAAGCGACTAGAACAGTGTTTCCCAACCTTTTCTGGGCAAAGGCACACTTGTTTCATGAAAAAAATCTCGAGGCACACCACCATTACAGCCCCGTGACGTCAGCGCGCAGCGTCACGCCGGGAGGGACGCACGAAAGTGTAAGATTCAATTTTTCCCCTCCCCCTTGCCTTCCTTCTGTGCCAACCGCCAAAAAGCCAAGAATCGCGGGACCGCCGGCGGAGGGGGGGAGGGCGAGCGGAGGCAGCGGCGAGCCCCGTTCCTCCCCATCCGCCCCATTCCGTGCAAGGAGTGCGAACAGGTGTGAGAAGGGGGTCAAACCTGCGGGTCGGCGCCGGGGAACCTCCAAGCTTTGGGGGTGGGGGGGAGGAGGCAAAAAGCGAGGCAGGAAGGAGAGCGCGGCTTGGCGAAGTACTCGGCGGCGAAGGCCAGCAGGTCCGGCGGCCGGTGCCGCAGCACCTCCACCATGTAGCCCTGCAGCAGCTCAGTCAGACCCGGCGGGATCTCGATGCTCATCTTGTAGCCGAGGCGCGCGGGAGACTCAACGGACGGGCCCGGGAGAGAGAGAGAGAGACACACACGACGGAGAGAGAGCGGGAGTCCCTGCTCGCCGTCGCCATCGCTACAACTACTGTGGCGGTTGGTCGTGGTCGTTGCCGCCGCCGCCCACCTCTATCTATCTCTCCCCCTCAGCTTTCTACGCGGGCCTCGAGCCGGAGGTGGGGGGTGGCCGCCGCCGCTTTCTCCGCCTCCACGTCCTGCCTCCTCCTCCTCGAGCCCTCCGTCAGCCCTGAGGGAACCGCCGCGCTCGCGCCGCCGCTCTCTGACACGCGAGAAAGAGAAAGGAACGGAGCGGCGGGGTAGTCGGGGGAAGGAGGGGCCGGAATGGAAGCGCAAGGCGCATGCCCAGCAGGAAGCGGCGGAGAATGCCACAGAGAGAGAGAGAGAAGCAAGGGAGGGCGGGGAGTGGGCGGGAACACGCTTCATGCGTCACAATAACGGACAAGAGGAGCTCGAAGGATAGATTAGGACCTAATTTGACTTTTACAAAAAAAAAAAATCTTTCGGATTTTCCCCGCGGCACACCAGGCAACGTCTCGCGGCACACTAGTGTGCCGCGGAACACCGGTTGGGAAACACTGGACTAGAAAGCTTAGGAAATAAAGAAACAACTGAAGGGCTGCCCCCAAGATCAGGGGCGGGGGGCTTCTTTCAGCCTGAGGGCTGCCTCCCATTCTGGGCCAAGCCTCCAGGGGTGAAACGCCAGTGGTAGTTGGGGGCAAGAAGCATAAGCAGGTGGAGAAATTAACGTATTACCCTCAGAAAGGAGGCTAGTTTCTACACAGGCTCACCCCTGACAGATGACAAAGCAAGTTTGTTTTCTATTGCTCCAATGGGTTCAGATTACAAGAAAAAGGATTAAAACCAAACATTTGACAGAACTGTGGGATAACTAGCCTCATATAACTAACATGCTTAAGTCTAATTAATGCATGATGGGGTTAATGACATAGAGTAAACTCTCCTGCCAGGCTTAGCTAGGTCACTTTCCCTTACCTTGAGGAGTCAATAGATAACCAAGCCTATTGTTCCCTTCCAGTCTACCTGAGCAGCTCAGCGTTTGAAGAGGTTTCAGCTGGTTGTTCCAGCTCAACCACATGGCTCTCACAAGCCACTCTTGAGTTTCTACACCAAAATTTTTAAAATTTAGGAATCATCATCATTATCATCATATATTTATACTGTACTCCACTCATCTGGCTGGGTTTCCCCAGCCACTCTGGGCGGCTCCCAAGAGAATATTAAAAACACCAAACATTTAAAACTTCCCTAAACAGGGTTGCATTCAGATGTATTCTAAAAGTCAGATAGTTGTTTATTTCCTTGACATCTGATGGGAGGGCGTTCCACAGGGCGGGTGCCACTACCGAGAAGGCCCTCTGCCTGGTTCCCTGTAACTTCACTTCTCACAGGGAGGGAACAGCCAGAAGGCCCTCGGAGCTGGACCACAGTATCCAGGCAGAACGATGGGGGTGGAGATGCTCCTTCAGGTGCTTTTACCACTTTGTGACTAAGACAAGTTTTGCTGCCTGTGCAACTTTCTGAAGCACATGAATCTGACCTTTGGAGAGTTTGTAAGCAAACTGTTTTTAATTGACAAAACGTGTTGCCTTTTCCCACACAGGGGGAAGAGAAAAACTTTTGAAAGAAACCTTTTAAGGGGACATTTTGGAACTCATTGGGAGGGGCATGTTTTAAAGGTCTAACAGCCTATATTCCCATGCTTTACTTTGCTGCATACTTTGTGACTTTAAATCTCTTGCTGGGGTTCTCTCACCAAAGAGAACTTGCCCTAAACTTGGATCTTGGCCTCTAGGAAATTATCATATACAGTGTTGTTTTTTCTCGGGGGATGCAGGGATACGCATACCCCTAAACATTTTGTGAATCTTATGTTTGGCCTCATTGAGAGGCAGTATTTCAATTTGAGCAGGAAAATGAGAGTACCCCTAAACATTTTTTTTAAGAAAAAAAGCACTGCTCATATACATACACATATACAATCACACCTTGGGTTACAGATGCTTCAGGTTGGGTTACAGATGCTTCTTGGTTTTGGTGGTCGCGTATGTGCAGAAGCACTAAATCATACTTTGCACATGTGCAGAAGCGCCAAATCGCAACCCGTGTGCCGCTGCGGGTTGCAAACGCTGCGGGTTGCGAATGTGCATCCTGCATGGATCACGTTCGCAACCCGAGCGTCCACTGTACATATACATATACATATACATATACCAACAACAACAACTTCCTGATGGTACTGAGCTCCTCAGCAGGGAAACAGACTGCCTTCATTAGAAGAGCTTTTTAAAGCAGAAGTTGGAGTCATGTATCAGGGAGATGGTAGCAGTGGTCTTCCTGCCTAGCAGCAGTAGGCTGGTCTAGATGACCGCTGATGTCTCCCTCCAGACTCTGTAATGCATTTACAGTGGTACCTCGGGTTACAAACTTAATTCGTTCCGGAGGTCCGTTCTTAACCTGAGGTACCACTTTAGCTAATGGGGCCTCCTGCTGCTGCCATGCGGCCACCACACGATTTCTGTTCTCATCCTGGGGCAAAGTTCGCAACCCGAGGTACAACTTCTGGGGTTAGTGGAGTTTGTAACCCGAAGTGTTTGTAACCCAAGGTACCACTGTATTCTAAAAGGGGTCCCTCCCTTCAGTATCTTCTCCACCCAGCTCAGCTACTTTTTTACCTCGCCGTTTCTCAGATTGATTTCATTGCTTAGGAGGGTCAAAGAGAGGGGGCTTCCTTCTGCCAAGGAGCTCCATTTCTGCTGCGTGGCAAGTGCGTTGGCCTCTCTCTGAAGCAGCAACGAGTTACTTTTGGCCTACATGGAAGAATAACAGAGGAAATGGCAGGTTGGAAGCAACACTCATTCCATTCCTCCCTCCGCCCTGCAGCTCTTGGACCATGCTCAACAGACTGGCCAGCCCCCTGTAAATTCTCCACCCCCCAAAAAAATTCCAGAGCAGGAGGCAAAGTTGCCAGATCAGCCATACCTGCTGCAGTTCGATGCTCAGTAGATCTCCAGTGCTAGAATGCTTTCTTGGGGCAGACACATCTGTAAGGATGAACTGGTCCCTTGAAAGAGAAGGAAGGTTTAGAAGTTGCTCCCTGCACATTGCTTGGAAGCGTGACACTGGACCTCTGATGAAGAAGGAAGCAGAGGGGGCTCTTCAGATGGGCCTGCCAGCCAGGGGTTTCCTTTCATCCACCGACCTTCTGAAGGTGCACAGAAAGGTCCAGGGATAAAAGGAAATTCCCAGCTGACCGGCCTGTCCCAGGATTCCCTCCTCTCTGCAGGAAAATGATGCCCAGCAAAGAGACAACTGAACCTCTACCCCCCACCCTCAAATTGAACAGCCTGGTATGAATTAGTCTGCACAGGGGTCGCTGCAGAATGCCAGGGAAATGACTACAATGGGGTTTCAACACGTCGTATTTCATGCAGGGCAAATGTTGTCAGAAAGCACCCTCATCCCAAGCCCAGTCCCCACGCACTGGCTCTGGCAAGGTGGCGCTCACTCCATTCTATCGTCCTTTTATTTATTATTACATTTGCATCCTGGCTTTCCTGGAATGAGCTCCAGGTGCAATCCCTGGTTCTCTCCCTCCCCACATATTCCTTTTAAGAATGTAGCAAGAGCTCTGATGGATTAGGACAGGGCGGGGGGCACTAGCCCAGCATCCTGTTCTCACAGTGGCCAACCAGATGCCCCAGTAGGAAGCCTGAAAGCAGGAGCTGAGTCCTTGTGTTCTCCAGCAACTGGCATTCAGAGGCAGACTGCTTCCCACAGTGGAGGGAGAACACAAGGCATCCTGGCTGGCCACCAGGTATAGATGCATCCTCCATCCTTGCAACAACCCAGTGGGGTAGGTTAGGTTTAAGGAAAGTGGTTGGTGCAGTGAATGGTTGAATGGGGATTTCAGCCCAGATCTCCCAAGCCCCAGTCCCACCACTGAGGAGCTGTGAACTTAGCGCTGACTGCCGTGGCCTGAAAACTCCTACTGCTTCCATGGGATCTGGCAAGGGATCTGGGCACGCTGAGCTTAGGCGAGGTGATGTTCAGGATGGGCTCCCCAGGTGCCCCCTTCGACAAGCGCTCCCTCACCTACCGTTCTCTGAAAGGCGCTGATGAAGTAGAATCGGAATTGTAGGAGCTCCATCTTGAATCAATGGTGCTGACGTAAGGGGTGTAATCTGCAACAGGCAAAAGGTGCAAACTCAGCTCAGGCCAGAGAGAATCCTGTCCTCCACCCACACCTGCCACCCTGGCATCCTCTTCTATATCGTTTCCAAGACTTCCGACCAACCCAGCCCATACCTGACATGCTGACTGGCTTTGTAGCACTTCCTTGGGAAGCAGTAGCTTGAATTGGGTCTGTCGTGTGATAACCCGTGCGCGACGACCTGGAGATGGCGCCCCATTTGGAGATGATGGGCCCATCGCTGAACGGAATGATTGGGTCTTCCTCCTTTGCCCTTCTCTGGGTGTCGAAGAGGTGCACCCGCCTCTTCATGTCCCCACTGTCCAGATCCTGGAAAGCCCCACAAGAAAAGGAAAGCCCAGAGATAGAATCACAGAACATTAGAGGCCCAAAGAGTCAGCCAGTTCAGTTTCCTGCAATGCAGGATCTGGCCTGCACATGGCCTGGTGCAGCAGGGAGGCTCATTCTTAGGCCCAGTGTAACATTTTGCACTCATAGGAACCCTTTTAGAAGCAGTTCCCTTCGGAACGTCATCTGGCAGGGCATCCAAATCACTTCTTGCAATCCTTACAAGGTGCTCAGGACAATATATTTACCCTTATGCGGTAGACTGGGGAAGGGCACTCGTGCGTGTGTGCATGTGGACGTAAGATGAGGTTAAGGGAATCATGTTTTGGAAACTGGTTCTAAGAAAACCCATCCATGGCAGAGGGAGCAGCACTGGCTCTGAGCCTGGCTACCAAGAAGAATGGGCTCCAGAGGGGAAGCTGCCTTACCAGGAGCACAGCACCAGAATTGGCAATGACGTCCTTGGGCTCCGACTCAATGGCACTTATGCAGGAGCTGATGGTGCCACAGGACCAGGGAGAGTAGTGGGAGAGGCGGTCGTCCTCGTACTTGGAGCTATGCTGGCTGCTGGCACTCTCGCAGAACTGCAGGGAAAGGAAGACACCAGGTAAGGTCTGTGGGGTGGGTGTTAATCAGTGGGAGAGGATATATTAATTGCAAATCATCCCCCCAGGTACCCTTGTGTGCAGTTTGAATCAAGTTTCAAAACCCCTTAACAGCACAATTAAAAGCATAGGAAATAGGCTGTAAAACCTTTGGGGGGGGGGGCGGACTTACCCCTTCCTAATCCACTTAACAAAGCATCAGACAACAGCTTGCCAAGTAGGTTAAACAAAATATTTACTTGCTTTATAATCATGCATTGGTTCACAGCAATGGCAGCAGTAAAAAACTATGCAGCCAAAATACTCGTTATTTACAGTATAACCAGCTTCAGGCTTGTGTCTGGAGTTGGAGCAAGTGTGGCCTGCCAGTCTCCGAACACTGGTCAAAAGGAAGAGAGAGTGGAACAGGAAATACCATATGTTCCTTCCTTTCCAGCAGAGGAGGGGAAATGACACCACACAGAGCCCTTTCTACCAGTTTTATTTCTATGGTCAGCAATACAGCTCTGAGGATTTAGCCCCCTCTCATGCTAACTGGCAAGAACATGCATTTGTTAGATTTGGAGACTGATCTTCCACAAGATCTTGACCAATCATCCCAAAGGCCTTTTGTGTATTTCCCATGCCAGCAGCAGAAACATCTGCACATTTGGGGACACTGTGCTGTGCAGAGTAACAGAAGAAAAAAGGAAAACAATTTCCCTGCGATGAGGAGGTTGCAGGGAAACACATGGCAGAAAGGGAAGAGAAGGAAAAGGAAAAGGGAGGTGGGAACCAAGGATAAGTAAGAGCAGGGTGCCTGCTGAAGTTTTGTTTCCACTAGGAGGGTGGCAGGTAGGCCTGATGTGGGAGGTTTATCTTTTTATCAGGCAGCCATCCTAACCAGCGACATAGGACTGCAACTTAATAAAACAAAGCCAATAGATTCAAAGTGCAAGAAAAAAGATTCTAACCAAACCTTAGGAAGAACTTTCTGGAGGTTAAGAGCTATTTGACAGTGGAACAGACTCCCTCAGAAGGTGATGCATTCTCCCTCATTGGAGATTTGAAATCAGTGATTGCACGGCCCTCTGCAGTGCAGGAGGCTGAACTAATGACCCTTCAGGTCCCTGCAATTCTGTGATTATGAAAAATCTCCCCCAAACAGATAAATGGTCCTATGCAAGTTGTTTAATCTCAATATCTTTCCCCAATCTAAATACTGGCCCTGGTGCAAACTGCTATTAGCTTGTGGTGGGGAGGAGGGTGAGCAGAAGAGAAAGAGGTTGTAGCTGCCTTGTTCCCCTCCATGAAGTTAATAGCAAGTGGGTGTGTATGGTGGGGGGGAAGAGATTTGGAAAAGGAAAAGTGTCTAGGAGGATTAAATCACATCCCAGCTCTTCAAAGCAACCATGCAGGACTACAAATTATCAAAACAAAATTGGAGGAGATCCCAAGCCTCAGGACCATCATTGGTCATTAGACTACAGATGTGGCCGTCCAGATGTTGCTGGAATCAAACTACCATCACACTCCTGGCTGCTGGGGAGGGGAGAGCCTGGAGCCAAGCCATATTTGGAGGGCCACAAGTTCCCCACAATGCCCTATGGAGTTAAATCCCAAGCCATCATGGGAAGCATCCACTTTCAGGCAGGACATGAGGGAGCACATGCTGAACCCCAGGAGAAAGGAGTGCCAAAGCGTCTGGTGGAGCAGTTGTGCTCTTCCCCCACCCACATCCCTGTAGCTCTCTGGTGCCTTACTTCTCGGCTGAAGTCCACGTTGAAGAGAGGGGAAGGAGGAGGAGGAGGAGACTGTGCGGCTGCAGGCAGAGTGGAGGAGGACACGAGAGGCGTTTTTGGTATGTGGCATGGGGCCCACTGCTCCGGCTTCCTCCGCAGTGGGTCGTCGTAAGTGGGTTTCAAGTGGCCACAAGGATCCTAGGAGAAAGGTACCAGATCAGGATCAATTAACATCACATGGAACACAAGAGTTAGCCGCTCAAAGGCTTGTGTTACAAGAACACAGGAAGTTGCCTTGTATGGAGTCACACCATTAGTCCACTCAGCTCAGCACTGTCTCTGCTGACTTGTGGCGGCTCTCCAGGGCAGGGGACATTCCCTGCCTGAACCTGGGGAGCCAAACCTGGGACCCTTTGCACGCAGGGCGGGCGCTCTGCCACATCAGCGGCAATGCAGAATTTTGTATTGTTTGATGCTATTTCATGGTCTGCTGTAAATATACTGTTGTGGGCTGCCTTTATACTTTACATGAGTGGGTGGCACATAAACCTTTCAAATAAATAAAGGTTCAGCTGGCAATGCAAGGAAGGCGTTAAGCTGGATCTCCTCCCACCATGCCCAAATTCCTCCTGATCTGAACCATGTGACGGCAGTTAAAATCAGAAATACACAGCATAAGCTGTCTTATACTGACCCAGACCACGGGTCCACCTAGCTCAGTACTGTCTACACTGACTGGCAGCAGGTTTCAGACCTAGAGATGCCACTGGGCAGTGAACCTGGGACCTTCTGCATGCAAAGCAGATGCTCTACCACTCAGCTGCAACCTTTCCCCTACACTCCCACACACCCTTCTCTCTGATACTTCCCCCAAAGGAATTCACCAGCTGGCCAGGAACTTGCTCAGATTAAACAAAAGACAGGCAATAGCAACTTCCCAAAAGTGGAAGCTAGCCTTGTATCCTGCCAGCCTACAACCCAGAAGTGTGCAAGGATTCAAGTGTGGTACTGGGGTAAGGAATGTGGGGAGGAGGGTCACAAGGAGTCCTAACTGGCCCCTGCCCCAAGTGTTGGGTGCACTTGCTCTTGCTCCCTATGTTTGCTTTGTTTCTCCTCTGCCTTGTTTTATGCAGTATGGGAGTGCTCTTCAGCTCAGAGCCATAAACCATTTAAACAGAAAAAAATCAGGTTGCAGAAATGCAACAAAGTTCTAAGACATCATCTCATTCGGCCTAGGGAGCTTCCAAAAAGGAAGCCACACAGGAGAGCAATTCATGCAGCAAGTCCCAGGCAAATAAAATGTGTCTCTGCCTGCAGGCAAAATGGCACCAGAGGCCCTTGAGGAGCTGGTTTGGGATATCTGAGAGGCCTCAGAGCAGTAAGGAACAAAGCTCCAGTGTCTAGTGGGGAACCTACCCTCAAGGAAGGCACCGTCCTCTGGTCAGCCGGCAACTGACAGGCCATGGAATGGTAGCTGTCCAAAGAGTTGTATCTCTCCCGCAGGAAGGACTGGTAGACAGTGGGGTGGACGACGTCCATGGGAGGCAAGGAGTTGCTCCGGATTATGTCATCCCTTGGGTACATCTGCGGCCGCCAGATCCGCCGGCTGTCGTAGAGCGGGGCATACATCCCAGACGGGACTGGCCCATAGGGCTGCGGTGGCGGTGGCGGCTGGTAAGGAGAGCTCAATCTGTCCCGAGGGGGGAATGCGCTGTAATGGTCGCCGTATGGCACAGAAGCAGATGGGAGGGCGGATTCAGGAACATTGCTGGGCCTCACAAAGCGAGGGAGGCAAGGGGCCACACCAGCTGGGACTGTCGGTGGTGCTGGGTAGTATCCTATGGAACAAGAGACACTTGCTGAGCTTGGCCTATCATCTAGAACTTCAGATTGTTCTAGGGCCAGTCTGCACATGTAGCAGAATTAGGAAGTAGGGTGGACTGTACCATGTTCAGGTCCATTTTGAATGCTTCCCCATGCAAAAATTAATAATAATAATGATACCCCCACAAGGAGAAAACTGGCACAGCAGGGAGCAGACTAGGCTACAACTTCACTAGTGTTCTACTTGCAGGGAGACGTTTTCTTTTAAAATTATCTTCCATCCACCCACCTGAAGCCTGCAATGGTACAGATAATTCTATCACCTTGTTTTTGCTGCATGCATTGACCAGGTCTTCTTAGCTGCCAGAACTTAGCTGAACAGAACTAACTAACTTACTCCTCTCCTCAGAATATAAGCCCAATAATAATTTCTCCCCTCTGTACACATTTAAATGGACCAGAAATATTCTCTTCTTTATATGCCACAATGTAGACTGACATAAGGCAGCTGCTGTCAGTGGAGTAAAGCTATTGGTAGAAATAATTAAGAGAAATCAAAAGTCAATGAGCTATATGAATTTTACAACATACAGCTGCTAAAGTTGGGGGAGAGGGGGTCATTTCTCATCATGGTTCCCACTCACCCACAAAGCCTTCATTAGTCTCCACTACCATTAACTACAGAACAATAATGGTTGCTACTGTTAACTGACACTTACAATCACCTGTCTTGGAGGCCTGTGGTCATGCACAAAGGTAAGCTATAAATGTTAAAAATAAATCAACAGCTTTGTGGCACCTACACATTAACAAAATGGCATAATGTTTTCTATGCTAAAAGTGTGTATAAAAGTAGTTTAGAGGCAGAGTGGGTGAGGGTAAGTTCTGAACAGTACAGATGCTGCTTGTATTACCAATGCAACTTTTTTGTAAATGACCACTGTTAATAATTATCATTGTCTACTTTTCTGAATTTTATTTACCTCTGACCTCATTGATGAAAAACCCCCACCTCCTCAATGTGCAAGCAGAATAACATTTCATTTTTCCCATCTACAAAGCCTGGTGACAAAGCCTGAGACCCTTTGTCGATTTTGCTGTGATATACCAACACGGGTACCTCTCTGGTAATTGTTTAATAAATACCTGATTAATCAATTTACAGCCCAATTCTGTGCATGTTTACTCAGAAGTAAATTCCACTATGTTTAGTGGGGTTTAGTCCCAGGTAAGTGTCCTAAGAATTGCAGCCTAAATCTGCATATGGGTATATAAAATATTTCCAAAAGAGGATGGGGTAAGAAGAGGAGATATTTTTGTTTGCAGATAGCATATTTGTTGTTGTTGTTGTTGTTTAGTCATTTAGTCGTGTCCGACTCTTCGTGACCCCATGGACAAGAGCACGCCAGGCACTCCAGGCACATAGCATATTACACATGTAATAATAATAATATTAATAATAATAATAATAACAACAACAATAATTTATTTATACCCCGCCGATCTGGCTGAGTTTCCCCAGCCACACTGGGCAACTCCCAATCGAGTGTTAAAAACAGTAAGCATTAAATATGAAAAACTTCCCTAAACAGGGCTGCCTTCAGATGTCTTTTAAAAATAGGATAGCTTCTTAGTTCCTTGACATCTGCTGGGAGGGCATTCCACGGGATGGGGGCCACCACCGAGAAGGCCCTCGGTTACATGTCACATGTGTTGCATCTTCTTTCTCCCATGCAAGCAGAAGGAATGCCTTTTTTAAGGTGCTTGCATCTCTTTGTAATATACAGTTGTATTAAAGAATAAACGTTAAAATCTGCCACTCAATATTTATTAGGAAGCACATTTTCAGTTGATGGTTTGAAACCAATCCATCTAGGCCAACTTTCCCCAGGTGCCCACCAGGTGCTTTGGACTACAACTCCCATCAGCCCCAGCCGGCATGGCGAGGCTGGAAGAGACATTACAGTCATGTGCTGGGGCATCAGACTGAGGAAGCTTGAGCTACACACTGTGTGAAAAAGTCCTTTCTGTCCTGAATCTTACACTGCTTCACTGGATGACTCCACTAGGTTCTAGTATTACGAGAGGGGGAGAAAAACATCTCTCTAGACACACCACACATAATTTTATACACACAGTGATAAAAGTTCTACTCCACCAGTGTGGGCCACCACTGAAAGCATGAAGGAAGAGGACTGTCCCTACTTGGGGCCTAAAGGACAGCAGGTCCGGTGGCCAGTTCCCTCTGAAGGTAGGTCCATGATCCAGGGGTGGCCACAGAAAAGGCCAGGTCTGCTTGAGTGCCCTGTCAGTGCCTCACCTGCTTGCGGGTACTGCTGGGGTTCATAGGAGAGGTGGGTTCTGGGATCTTGAAAATACTGGAGGCTGTCGGAGTGAGGCGGGTAGACAGGCATTCGAGCAGCAAATGGGCCAGCTTGGGGCGTGATGGAGTTCATCTCTGTGCCCACAGGAGGAGGAGGCGGCGGCGGAGGAGGAGGACCTGCTGAGGTAGCTGCCACCTGACTGACAGGAGTCTTCGAAAGGGAACCAATTTTACTGGAAGAAATTCAGAAAGAGAGAGATTAAATTTAGGCTGTCTCTTGAATTATAGAAATCTTAGGGTAACTTTTTTAATTTAGGCATGTAGACAAAACCTCTAATGTTGGTTTTAAAAAGCATTCCCTCTTTGCTTTCAGTCATGGCAGGGATGGGGAGCCTGGGGCCTTCCAGATGTTGCTGGACCCCCAATGCCCACCATTCCTGGCTACTGACCAGGCTGGCTGCACACATCACAGCAGGAGCCTTCTTGAGAAGACGAATTGCCTCCTGCATGGAAAAACAACGTGTTCATGGGGGAGTAATGGGAACAGAGGGAACATAGGAAACTGCATTATACTGAGCCAGACCACAGGTCCATCTTGATCAGTACTGTCTACACCGGCAGCACCGTCTCTCCAGGGTTTCAGGCAGGGAGCCTCTCCCTGCGCTACCTGGCGATGCCACTGGGGACTGAACCCGGGACCCCCTGCTTGCAAGAAAGATGCTCTGCCGCTGAGCTATGTTCCTTCTTTCAAGCATGGCACATACTTTTCAGAGAGGGGGTCTGCCAAGGAGCCCGGGGTGTTCTGTCCATTGGCTCCAGCTTTCCCCGCTTTCTTCACGTTCTCCAACACCATCATGGACGAGGGGTCGGCGCAACGTGGGATCAGCTGGGGGCTGCCACTCTCCAGGCTCCCAATGCCGTTAGTGCTCTGTGCCATCTTCCCAGAGCTCTCCGCACTTCCCATGATGGAAATGATGCTTCCTGTCGTGGTGGAGACTGCGCTCGTGACACTGGCTTTGCCTAGCAGGGGGAAGGTTCTCACTGTGGCACTGATCTTCTTGTTCCTCAGCCGATACCTGTGGTTGCAATAAAGCAGTGGGCATGTGAATTTAGGTGACACTTCCCTTCAAAATTACAGGAAGGGCTTTATTATGCCAGCTTTGCCGTTTCCTTCATTTGGCACTGGTATGTTATTTTGAGTATAAACAAGACTCCGTTTTTGTATCTACACACACCACTTTTAATTGTTTTCCGAGATAAGGAGGGGAGGAAAAGGAAAACACACATTCTGCGATCAAATCAGAAACAGGGACGGCTTCTGAAATTCTGGGGTTCTACCTGGAAAATCGGGATACTTGGAAAGAATGCATATGTCTTTTTTTAAAAAATTCTAATTTTCTTTTCTCTCATTACAAATATCCTTATAACATACAGCTTACACCACATCTCTCCCTCCCCCCTTTTGGACTTCCCTAAACTTCCATTTTTGATTTATTAACCTCATTCATATATTCTGCTGTTTTCTACAAATATCATATTTTTCCTTTCATTACATTATCTGCTCCCTATCCATAAAGTTGTTAATGTTTAGTTAAATCCTACCATCAGGTCAATATTCTTTCTTTGTTTCTGCAAATATAATTAAAAGGTTCCCACTCTTTTTCAAAATCCCTATTGTCCTTTTCCCGAAGTCTGTGTGTCAGCTTCGCCAATTCTGGAAGGCATGCATATGCAGAACAGCTTCCACATTTGTATGGGCCTCAGATTGCTCAGAAAAGCCCATTTATTAGTTCTTAAATTGGAACTGTGTGGTAGAAAGGCTGGCGCCCTCATTGTACATCTTTAGGCAGCAGGTGAAAATGGTCTTCAACCAGGCTTTTGGCTGACAGACATCCAATGCTCTTTTAAATGTGTTGTGGGAGGGGGGGGATTATTTTCTTGTATTTTTATGTTGTGAACCACTTTGAGATCTATGGATGAATATAAATTAATAAATAGATGGTGATGGTGATAAATTGGATAGGGCTTGCCACAGCATCTGAAGATGTTCCAGGAAAAGTCAAACCAAAGGGAGACTGGACATCAGGGAGCCATCCCCAAAGCTAGATCCTTTTGAGTTGTCTTGAAGGAAGGGTCACTGTCAAGACTCCCACCCACTTCCCTCCTCTGCCCCACAGTTCTCTGTCTCTAGCTCCATCCCCCCTCCAAATCCGAGCAAGGGGAGCTCCTCTTCAAATTAGAGGCAGGTGACTGTTTCTGCCAAAAGTAATTTGAGAAAGGCTTCAGCGTTACAACTCCTCTGGTCAAATGGTGGTGGGTTTTTTAAAACTGGTTTATTTATTTACATTTCAAAAAAAATAATCCATTAGTAGTTAATTCAATTTTTAAAATGATAGAAAATTGTAAAATTGCATATTTAAAGCCTTTTCAGTCTTAATAATTCATGCTGTGGCATCTTTTGTATTCCCAAATCTTGTAAGACTCTTGCTGTGTAATAAGCTTGTTTGATAATCTTTATCATTATTGCTTGACTGTCTCTCATGGTATGTTAAAGTATGCTGAATAGAATTTATTCAGCCTCGTGATTTTTTAAAAAAATCTCTGCCACTTTTCAGTTTGTTTTTAGCTAAGCAATCTTTGTCAGTACCAAAACTTTTTGTCCAAATTCACTTATGGTGCATTCTTCAATGCAGGAAAATAACATACTGTGCAGATAAGGAATTCGATGGAAACCCAGTTGATTAGATAGCAAAGGAAGTAATGTTAGTATCTTAAACTTATGACCTAAATGTAGATGAGACGGAACGTTTTGGAAAGCTTGCTATCATTTAAAGAAGTTCATGATTTAGCTAGGCCAAATACTTTTTTTTTTGCAGGGGGAGGCACTGTCAAAGCAAGGTACATCAACATATTTACATGAAATATGAGGGTGGTATCCAGCTAAATAGACCTGCTAGCGCAAGTGTAGAAAACCTTTGGCCCACCAGATGTTGCTGAACCACAACTCCCATCAGCCCCCCCAAGTGATGGTCAGTAGCCAGAGATGATGGGAGTTGTAGTTGAGCAACTTCTAGACGGCCAAATGTTTCCTCCTCCAAGCGTACCTGCCATCTTAAAGGCAAAAAGGATCAGGAATTACTCACAATGAGATGTTGGCATGGCTTCAGAACAAAAGGAGGCCTCTCAGGATGGAACAAGAGGCCAGAGAGAGAGGCAGGGATGGGGGAACTACAACTGCTGTGGGATGACAACCCACTCCCATCTTCCCTGGTCTGGAGTCAATGGGAGTGAAGTTCAACAACACCTGAATGACCGCAGGCTGCCCATCCCTGCATTAAGGGAAAGCTGTGCGTAGGAAAATAAAATTATAAAAGGGATTTAAAAACTAAAGAAAATTGAAATGCATGTGAAAAGGGCTAAGTGAAGTTAAGGTTTTGTCTGCAAGGAAACTGTGAGAGAAGGACAGTACATGTATGTAGAAGCTACTGCTACAACTGTTAAAGATCAAGAAAGGAGCGGAAAATAAGAAAGTTGCTGTGCCTTGAGATTAAGCCAGTAGAAGCCAGTATAAGGAAGTGCTGCCATATATGGACACAGCCACCCCTTTGCTTGTAAACCTATAAATGCTTGTGTGTTGTTGTTTTTTCCATACTTGGGTGTTACCTCTCAACTACCTGCTGGCTGAGGTTGTATCACACTGGCCTTACAACATCTACGTAAATGTCCTGTTTGCCCGGCAGTTGGAGTCTGGATCTTATTGGCCATCCAGGCTGAATCCACAGGGTATTGAACTGCAATATTTCCCCACCCACCCACTTCCACCTTCCTTGGTCTGGGGCCAATGGGAAGTGGAGTCCAATGACACCTGGAGGGCAGCAGGCTGCCCATCCCTGCATTCAGGGAAAGCTGTGCATCAAGCCTCTCCTGCAGCGCATCCACCAGCTTAGGGAGAGTTCCTGCTCCTCCCCCACTTCCCAGTACTTACTTCTCCAGCTCTTCCTGAGAGTGAGCGAAAGTGCAGTTGGTCCCTCGCGGACACCCGCCTTGCTGTCGCAGGTCACGGCACATGCTTGTTTTGTATTTGCTATTTGGTTGCAGCTTTCAAAACGACAGAGGGAGAGAGGGAGGGAAAACATTGCATTACATAAACCAAGCCTGGAATAAATCCCCACCAGAGTTGTTGCTGACCCCACTAGAATGAGAGAACCGCATTTGCAAGACTTTCGCCTTACTGACAGCTGTGCTGGGTTCTGCACTCACCATAAAATTGAAGAATTGTAGGTTTGGAAGGGACCTTGAGGGTCATCTAGTCTAACCCTATGCAATGCGGGAATCAGAGCTAAATAATCCCTGAGGTGCACACTCTCTCTCCCGCCCTGTGGCTTCAAGCCACTGTTATTTGGAAGCCTTACTGCCTCCAACCAGGAGGTGTTAACAATATGCCAGGGAGTCACTGCCTGCCTCTGGCTCCTGCCCTAGAAAAGCCCATAAGTGCCAACCCCCAGGAATCCAAGAAACAAGCTACTTCCAAGCAGTTAAAACAAACCCCCAGCAACTATCCCTGTGGACAACCCCAAAGTCCTATCTGGCCCACGGATCATTGGTTCCTTTCTTTTCTTTGTTGTTTTAATTTTTTTCATATAATTTTTTTTAATTCTACATTTATTCTTATACCAAAAAAGTTCGCTAGAACAGATAAACACTATTACACCGTTCTCTTTTGTTGTTGTTGTTGTTGTTGTTGTTCTAATTCTTGTGGGCCAAAGAGGATCCTATAGTGTTGCAGATTTATGCTGATTGTAAAAATGGAATGACACATAAAGGTAAAGGTAAAGGTACCCCTGCCCATATGGGCCAGTCTTGACAGACTCTAGGGTTGTGCGCTCATCTCACTCAAGAGGCCGGGGGCCAGCGCTGTCCGGAGACACTTCCGGGTCACGTGGCCAGCGTGACAAAGCTGCTCTGGTGAGCCAGCACCAGCGCAGCACACGGAAACACCGTTTACCTTCCCGCTGGTAAGCGGTCCCTATTTATCTACTTGCACTCGGCGGTGCTTTCGAACTGCTAGGTTGGCAGGCGCTGGGACCGAACAACGGGAGAGCACCCCGCCACGGGGATTCGAACCGCCGACCTTTCGATCAGCAAGTCCTAGGCACTGAGGCTTTTACCCACAGCGCCACCTGCGTCCCTGGAATGACACACAGTCCATGCTTAATACTTTGGTTCCTAAGAGCAGTTAGCCAGATGCCTCTGGCCACCCGTAAGAAAGGCACAAGCACCACCTCTTTACCACCAACCATCAGGAATTCAGAAGAGTCATGGCAGCAGGTGGGCATTCCTAGATTAGATAAATTCTAATACCGTATTTTTCGCCCCATAGGACGCACTCCCCCCCCTCCAAAAATGAAGGGGAAATGTGTGTGCGTCCTATGGGGCGAATGCAGGCTTTCGCTGAAGCCTGGAGAGCGAAAGGGGTCGGTGCGCACCTTCTCGCTCTCCAGGCTTCGCGCAGATCTCCGCAAGCCGTGGGAGCCCCGCGCCTGGGGGGAAAATTTTCCCCCCTTTATTTCCCCCCAAAAAAACTAGGTGCGCCTTATGGGACGGTGCGTCCTATAGGGAGGAAAATACGGTACTTAGATACAGATGTACCGTAGTGAATCATTTTAAAATATACTTTTCTTTAGTCCCTTGGACCCAGCTGCCTGCGGCAGGGGGAGACAAGAGGTGCAATCTCCCTTCTCTCCCCAAGGGAGGAGCCCAAGCTGGCAAACACAGTAATAATAAGTAATTAAAAGCACACTAAAAACAGATTCCAAACATTCAAAAACATCTAAAAATAATAAACACAATGAACCACCTAAAACAAATGTAGGAACAGATATACCCAAATCATGTGTCCAGACAGGCCTGCCAAAACGGGGGGGGGGGGGTGTCTTGGTCCCGTCAGGAATTATGCAGCAGCATTCTGCACTAAATGCATTTTCCAGACTAAGCACAAGGGAACCCCTACAGCAGCTGCAGCAGCTGTGGAACCAAGGTCTCTCTGAAGCTGAATGATTTTACCCTCAAAATGTGCAGCCAGAGGTCTTCCCCCTCAGTGGGGGTCAGAAAACTCTGGACCACCATATATCTTAAAATTTTATTCACATCCCAACTCTACAGGTCAAATCTTAACTGCCCAGAGTAGCTGGGGCAACCCAGTCAGAGGGCCAGAATACAAATAATAAAATTATTATTCCCAGTTCAGGAAGCTGCCTACACCTTCTCTGGGATTTCAAACAGATGTCTTTCCCCCAGCCAGCCCTCTATGGAGAGACCGGGGACTGAACCTGGGAACTTCTGCATGCGGAGCAGGCGCTTTGCCCCTCAGTCAAGGCCCCTTTATTGGCCAAAAAGCAAGCTAAAAACAACCAGCTAAATAATATCAGTCAGTCACCTGTGGAGTTTCATGGCCTTTCCTACTGTAATTCTGAATGAAGTCCACCAGGCCATGGACAACAGTCTTCACAGCCACCATGGCATTTTCCAGTTGTTCCCATGTTGGAGATGTTGCATCTGTGGCAGCAGCAAAAGAGAAGGAAGGGGAAAGTGAGCTATCCGCAGCAAACAGGAATGCACCACATTTTTTGGTCCGTTACAACTTTTCTCTTGAGCTAAGCAGAAACAATCTTTGAAGTGCAGGACTAAACTAAACAGGAACTCTGCTGGTGCCAAAATTCCCACCAGGCTACACTGATGCTCTACTGACATGGCATCATTTTCTCACAGTATTTTTCTGGTAGAGCCAAACTGGAGTCCTAAAATTTCGTTTTCCCAGATTTGTGATTGGGCCTCCACCTCTCTACTGCTTCTACTATCTCACAGTTGGCAACTGCATAAACTGCCTCTCCCCATATGAACCAACCCAGACCCTTATCTCATGATCTGGAGCCCTTCTTTGCCTGCCCCCTCCATGAGAGTCTGGAGGTGAAAACGCGAGTACAGGTCTTTTCTGTGGTGGCTCCCCACTTGTGGAATGCTCTCCCCAGAGAGGACCACCTAGCATCTTCTCTACATATATTTAGGCACCAAGCAAAAACATTCCTCTTCTTCCAGACCTTTCACTAATTAAATAATTGATGGCCTTTTAAATGGCGTATGTTTGAATGGAGGAGTGTTATTGTCTTATTTGTTATCATGTTATGTATTTCTGTGTTCTTATACCATAAACTATCCTGTGATAATCAGATGAAGGGCGGTATATAACTTCAACCAACCAGGCTTCCTTTACCAGATGTCCTCTATATGTTTTGGACCACAACTCTCATCAGCCCCAGACAGCAGGCAAGGGGTCAGGGTTGATGGGATTTGTAGTCTAACGACATCTAGCAGGCACCAGGTTACTACACAGAACGCACTCCTGTGGAGGAAACCGCATAGAACAAGATAAAGATTGTCCCATGTGACGAAAGCATATCTAGGTTTCCCATGGCATGCACAAATCTTGCTGTGAGTAAAACAACTAAGAAAGAAATCCCCCAGTATACAGTGAAAAGGGAAATAAAACTATCCCTCTCCTTCTGTAAGGAAGGAATGTAAAACAAAATGTGAGTGTGCATGCTCAAGTACACATGCAGACCATTCACATACCTGGATTAGGATCTATGTTGGCCAATAGCTCCAAATGGGGACGAAGCCTGTTTAAATTTGCAGGGTCACCTGTACGTTGCAGAACAATGGTCAACTCCTGCACACTTTTTGCAAAGGATTCTGGGGACTGAAGCTAAAGAAAAGAAACAAACAAGTGTTTTAATAATAATAATAATAATAATAATAATAATATATTCATACCCCGCCCATCTGGCTGTGTTTCCCCAGCCACTCTGGGCGGCTTCCAATAAAATATTAAAAATACAATAAAACATAAGAATCCTTGATGCAGCGGAGAGGTTGGTACACCAAAAGGAATCCTGTACTGCTTTGCGTTATATGAAGGAAATTCTACTGTGAACCTATGAAGAGCCCTGCTGGATCAGACCATCTAGTCCAGCATCCTGATCTCTCAGCAGCCAACCAGATGCCTCTCCTGGGAAGCCCACAAGCAGGACCTGGGCACAAAAGCAGGTTCCCCACTTGCAGCTCCTAGCAACTGGTATTTAGAGGCCTACTGTTTCCAACAGTAGAGAGAGAACATAACCATTGTTTCTTGTAGCCACTGATAAGACTTATCTTCTATGAATTTGTCTTACCTTCTTTTAATGACTTCGAAGCTGACGGCCATCACTACATCTTGTGGGAGCAAATTTAATTATGCACTGTGTGAAGAAATACTGTATTTTTTGCTCTATAAGACTCACCTTTTCCCTCCTAAAAAGGGGAAATGTGTGTGTGTCTTATGGAGCGAATGCAGGCTGCGCAGCTATCCCAGAAGCCAGAACAGCAAGAGGGATTGCTGCTTTCACTGCGCAGTGATCCCTCTTGCTGTTCTGGCTTCTGAGATTCAGAATATTTTTTTCCTTGTTTTCCTCCTCCAAAAACTAGGTGCGTCTTATGGTCTTATAGAGCAAAAAATACGGTACTTCATCTTCTCTAGCCTGACTCTTCTGTTCTGTTTCATTGGATGGCTCCAAGTTTTAGTATTATAGGAGAGGAAAAAGAGCTTCTTTCTACCCACTTTCTCTACACATATTTTTGTGGATCAAGAAACATCAAATCTCTTCCCTGCTCCCCATTCCCAAATCTTATTCGTTATGTATTTTAGTTTTTGTTCTATAAAATAGTTGCTGTTTGATTAACCTGAGCCTAAGGTGTAGGCAGGAGAGAAATATTCCATAATTAACAGCACGTCTTCAGGTTGCATGAACTGAGGATCAGTGCTGAGAGGCTGTATCTCTCAGCTCAGAATCTGCCCTATGCAGCTTCATCACCAGACGTAGTGCTGTATTCCAGAAAAAAACAAATAAAAAGCAACTATTCTGTAGCCGCTACACACCTTGTCAATAATGGACTGCATGTGGGATTTGTGGGCCAGGTCTCCATAGAGTAGGGAAGACCACTGCTCTGGTGATATCCGAAGGCCGGCTTCCATGGCAATGTGGACAATCTGAGCATCGTGTTCCCTACGCAATGCCTCATAGCTGCGAAATTCCTCTTTCAGTTGCATCAGGGAAGAATCTTCATCTCTTTTGGTGACCTACACAAATCAGTCGATGAACAAACATGCCTGTTGTTGTTGTTTAGTCATTTAGTCATGTCTAACTCTTCATGACCCCATGGACCAGAGCATGCCAGGCACTCCACGCCTAGTGCACTCAAATATCAATTTAAAGGACTGTGGGACTGCATCCATGTGCAGACATAGTCCATCTGAACCACACTACCTTTCAGCAGAATGCATGCTGATACCCCCCCCATGCATATCCAAAAGTGCATTTGATGGAAAGGAATGCACCCCATGATTATTGTGTTATCACCAGTTACTGCTGTCATGAACAATACTATGCTCTCATTGCATAGATTTAAACTTTTATAAAATTGACACAGACTTATCATTAGGGTAGGGAACCACTGCCTCTACTCAAACCCAGATGGTGGTAAGTTGCTTTGGCTGACTTTGGAAAAGATAAAGCAAATAACAAATGTAAATAATAATAATAATAATAATAATAATAATAATAATAATAATAATAATAAATGGATAGAACCAAACTTTTTGAAAAATATATTAGTTTCGCACTGGTCTTCCTTTGAAGCTTTAAAAGAAGTGGTCAGAGAGATAGTACTACAAAGATTTCTCATGAGTTAATTCTTATTACTAAACTACCCTAACATTTTCTGAGGTATCGTAACCAATATTTCATTGAAAGCAACTTTGCTAACTATGAGTTGCCTAGCTGCAGAAAACCTAGAATGATTTTTTTTACTATGAAATTTACTTTACCAGCAGGGTCCAGGGTGGGCTACAACAATGTAAATTTCAGAATTAAAAACAGTTAAAACAGATTAGAAATGAGAAACTCGAAAGCACTGCACCTTGAAGCATGAGGCTCGATATAGAAGCTGTACCACGTGGCCAATGCTGGTTTTGGATGCCTGGGGGAATCTTGGCTCCAGCCTCTGGACAACAAAAAGCACCAAGACTTTCCTGGAGAGGGCTGAGCCGTCTTCCAAGGCCAGCAGCACCAGCTTCAAGGCTTCTTCCTGCATAGCTAGAAAGCCATAGGTTGACGTTATTTAGGGTCTAGAAATGCAAGGGCAAACCATAGCAGGTTAAAGGATGTAGGCCCAAACTATTCTTTGCCTGAACCTTCGCAACAGTGAAGGCTGGGAACTTAAATTATTTGTTCCAAAAATAAACAGAGCCCACCAGCTTCTACCCCAAGGTGGGGACCTGGTAGGAAGTTTTCTCAAATAGTATCTGAGTGATGAACAGCCCAATCCTAGATGTATCCGTTCAGAAGTATGAGTCTTAGTTCCAAGGGAACTTGTACAGGACTGTGGCCTCAGTGTTTCAGTCTGACAAGTCCCTCTCTCTATTTACTCCAGCTAGGGGTTACCTGGACCGAGGAACTGGCACCCTCGTGCCCGGACAGCGGCCCAGAGATTGGCAGACAGTTGCTGAGGGTTCTGGTGCTGCAATATCAGCTCAGTGACCGTTCTCTCCCCGAGGGAGCGGGCTGCCCGCATGGCCCTGACCCGGCCTTCCTCTTCCACCAGCTGACAGTTCACTAGTGTCACCAGTTTCCGTTGCATAGGCCGGCTCAGTGCGCTCTGGTTCAGGCTGGCAATGCCTTCAGGAGGAGGAACAAAAGGAGAAAGGTTAGCAGGGAGGCCTTCTAATCAATGTGAAAGGCAAGGATTTCCTCAGTGAGCAGGTGGGGCACAATGGCATCTGAAATGCACAGATTTTGGTAGTGGTTGGGGTGTGGTGTGGCGTGGTGCAGAATTCATTCAGTTTACACTTCTGTTAGAACCTACTACATTTGCACTTCTTGAACTAATACAACACAAAACAAATCAAAACAAAACACTATCCTTTGATGTCTCTGAATATTGTCTGTTTCTGAATTTTACAGTGCAGTGCATATAATGATGAATATGTTAGTGAAAAGTACACTTATAATGGATATATATATGAACAAAAATGCAATTAGGAGAAAACAGAAAATACTAGGCAAAATTGTGTACAATTTGTATATATTAAGAGAAACAAGCATGCAAATGCACACAGATTCTCCCTGAAGACGCTGCCCTTTTTTTCTTTTTTCTTTACTGCAAACAATCACAAATAAATGGATTGAATCAAACTAAAAGTTAGGAAAATGAGAAAATAAGAGAAACTGAAACTGGCAGAATTGCCTATTTCTACCTGGGCATCAGGGAAAGGCAGTTGACAATAATAAATTAATAAATTTAATAAATTAATAAATTAATCTCCTTCTGTGTGGAAGGCCTTTGAATACCATTTGCAGTAGAACAATAGTGGAACAGGGCTATTGCGCTCATGGCCTTGCTTGTGGGTCTTTACAGTGATCCAAAAGGGCCCTCCTGGTGTCCTGGAACCCAAGATGAACAAGCAGTCTGACGTGGCCGAAGGCAGCTTCCCACCATGTGTGATTCGTATTTAAAACCTTCAATTTGAAAAGGACACCAGCTTGACTGGCTTCTTTTACTACCTCATGGGGGAACTTACCCTTGCCTCCACTTAGTGGCTTCAAATAAAGTGCCAGATCTTCAACACATTTCTTTGCCACTTCATAGTGTTTGTTCTCTCCTAAGTTGCTTAGCTTGATGGTCTGGTGATCAGGTGCCTGTAAAGGTCAAATGCAGAAAGGAAGAAGCAGTGACCAGTGTGTAATTTGTTATCAAAGAATGGAGAGAGATACACACCATTAATGTGATGCTGCAGGAAATTATACACCATTTCTCAACAAGCACCCTAATTCTGGAATTATGCAAGATCAAAGAGCTGCCACTAAAAATCTGACTTGACAATAAGCAGCAATGCTTGCTTATTTGATTAGACCCAGACCTAGCATAAGCTTTAGTGTCTTTAAGATACCACTAGGGCGTGTGTGTGTGAATACTTTTTATTAAAGGTTTTCTTGGTTTGCAAAAGTACATGCAGACAATGCATGCAGCTTGTGAGGAAACAAAATGTTGATGGATCAAAATGTTATTTAAACACTTTTGTTATTTGAGGAAAGCCTGCCTTGGGGCTTATCCACACTTACCGGTACCTTTCTTCTGCTCTTTCCGGGCATGGTCTGCACTTTAAAGCTCCATGTCAGAGCGCCCCCACTCATTTCCACCCTCTGGAGCTTTCCCTGTGAAAAGCTGCTCTTTAAAGCTCAATCAGACCAAACAGCAATTTGCAGAAAACTTGAGTTGACGTTTGCTCTGCTTGAGCATTAAAGAGTGGGTTTTCAGGGGGAAAGCTCCAAGGCAAAAAAATCCTCACACTCAGACATGGAGCTTTTAAGCGCAGGCTTGTACTTGGGAAAAGTGGGGCAAAAGGTAAGTGCAGATAAGCCCTTCGCCTGAACCTGAAGGCAAAGAAGGCAACAAAAACAAAAGACCAATGAAACGGAAGGAATAAAACCAATGCAGTATCAGAACTATAAAATGGAAACATACTGGCACGGTTTCCATATAATGCTAATATTTTTCCAGGAAAGCTAAACCACAAGCCCAGGTTCAGACAACATGCTAAATCAAACCATGGCTTAGTTTAATGCAGCAACAAAATTACTGGAGGTGCAAATTAGCCACCATTCCCTCTCTGGAAGCCTGCACCTCTGCAGAAAGCCATGGTTTGGCTTAGCAGTACATGCAAACAAGGTTGCTATGAAATTAACAAGTATATGGTACCTCCTCTCTCTCTTCTCCTTCAGACCCCCCTTTTCTGCCTGGCCTTTGGCTTGTCAACTTTAATCCCCATCCCCAACTATAATCAAACTTTAAGTATGTGGCACAGGGCTTGCCCACATAATTATAATAATATAATAATAATTTATTATTTATACCCTGCCCATCTGGCTGGGTTTCCCCAGCCACTCTGGGTGGCTTCCAACAGAATATTAAAAACACGATAAAACATCAAACATTAAAAATGTCCCTAAACAGGGCTGCCTTCAGATGTCTTCTAAAAGTCAGATAGCTGTTTATTTCCTTGACATATGATGAGAAGGCGTTCCACAGGACGGGTGCCACTACCGAGAAGGCCCTCTGCCTGGTTCCCTGTAACCTCACTTTTCACAGTGAGGGAACTGCCAGAAGGGCCTTGGAGCTGGACCTGAGTTTCTGGGCTGAATGATGGGAATGGAGACACTCCTTCAGGTATACTGAGAGGTAGAGCTCAGTATCATCTGCATACGGATGAACACCCATCCCAAACCCATTCTCCCCTTCCTCCCCTGTGGCAACAAGCTGGCTGAGGAGGGCCAGTATATGCCATGGAGCATGTACAGTGCTGCCCTTCAACAAAAGGGAATGGCCAGAAAATGGGGGTTAGGAGCACCAGCAAGGAGGCTGCCTCCACTGTCCCCAGCATCATCTTGCCTTAGGCAAAGAACAGCTGGAAAAAAGAGAGATTCCCTTCTCCATCTATTTCCAGTTAAGGCATTTGAACTCCCAGTGTGTTTTTCCAGCTCCTGTACACAAGCAAAAATTCACAAAAGGATCAGACCAGATATTATTATTATTATTAGTAGTAGTAGTAGTATTTTGAGAGGTATAAATTCTAACCAAAACAAGCTCCTTTCCTTTACCTGGGCTCCAACTAATTGGAGAAGTGCAAAGTTTACAGGAAGCACATCAATGTCAGTGTTGATGGCTGTCTGGTCAAAAGGGCAGGCCTTGCGGTGAAGCTTATTCAAGCAGGTCTTGCAGACCGTGTGTGAGCAGCCTAGGCTGATGGGCTTGTGCACATTCTCGTCGAATTCGTTGTAGCAGATTGGGCAGGACAGGAACTCTGTCCACTGAGCCGCCTGCACAGGCATCGTGAAAGCCAGGCACTCAGTCAGATAGCTAGCAAACCATGCTGTCTCTTGTCCAGGGGTCTGGCGGCTGTGAAGCAAATAAATAAATAAATAAATAAATAAATAAATAAATAAATATTTTTCTCCAGCTATATCCAAAGCTGATCACCAGCCACCACTGACACAATGACCTTACCAACCCACCCCAAATGGTTTTGTAAATATATAGTTCCATGTAAGTGTTTACAGTTCATGTACAGTGAAGAGCCTCCCATCCATTGCAGTGTCAAAAACAGTGCATTTGATAACTAAGAGGCCACAACTAATCCATTTTTTTTTTTGTTCTGGAGTAAGGTTCCATGTGATTAGAAAGTATCATGGCAACACTATGACTTTACTGAATTGTATTAATTGCATTGATGACCCTGTTGCTGCTGTTTGCTTTATTTATACACTATTTTGTTTGATATTATGATGATTGCAGTGTTTGCTTTTTATGCTATTGTTAATATTGTGAACTGCTTTGAGTTCAACATTTATTGTTGGAAAAGTGGAAGACAAATATTGTATCAAATCAAATACACAAATGCATTTTTGAATAGAGACATATGTACATTCCTTTGCTTTTTCAAGCTGCAGAAAAGGTTGGGATTGGTCATTTAAAAACGAAAAGCAAAACACACAGCTGTCCACTACCTAGGATGCTACACTGGCATGGGGGTGCGGGTTGACATTCTTGCTCAGTGGCAAACAGCAGACAGGTTAAGATGGCATACATATATCTTAGATCAGCTACAAAAGCACATGAACGCCTCAGTGTTGAGAAGGAAGAACGCAAACATAGTCGTACCTTGGTTTTTGAACAGCTTAGGTCTCGAATGTTTTGGCTGCCAAACGCCGCAACCCCGGAAGTGACTGTTCCAGTTTGCAAAATATTTTTGGAAGCCAAACGTCCAATGGGGCTTCCACTGCTTCCGATTGACTGCAGGAACTTCCTGCAGCCAATCAGAAGCCGTGCTTTGGTTTCCGAACGTTTTGGAAGTCAAACGGATTTCCAGAACAGATTCCGTTCAACTTCCAAGGTATGACTGTATAGCATTGTTTCTGTCCCTCAGTGGCTTAGCCTGAGTTGCAAACAAACTACTTGGCAATTAGGCAATTATCTGGCTGCACGTACCAATCTGAACTCACTATTTGCTACACAAGCCTTGTCTTTTGAGCCTGCAAATGGAATACCACCCCCACCCCCCACCCCCGCAAACACTACGCTACACTTTCCAAATGTCCCTATTTTCCAGGGACAGTCCCAGATTTACAGAAGCTGATGTGATCCTGGAATGCCCCACTTTTCCTTAATATGTCCCTATTTTCATCAGAGAAGTGTTGTAGGATACAGAGTTATGCAACCCCTGAGCCAAGGAGATAAGTAGCTATACAACCTTTAGAAGACATCTGAAGACAGTTCTGTATAGGGAAGTTTTAATTTATTTATTGTTTTATTATGTTTGTATATATGTTGGACATCGCCTAGAGTAGTTGGGGCAACTCTGTCATATGGGCAGGATATACAGTGAGGGGGAAAAGTATATGACCCCCTGCTAAATTTGCCCGTTTGCCCTCTGATGAAGAAATGACCAGTCCATAATCTTAATGGTAGGTTTAATGGTATTCTGTCTCTCACAGCTACAATAAACCTACCATTAAAATTATGGACTGGCCATTTCTTCGTCAGAGGGCAAACGGGCAAATTTAGCAGGGGATCATATACTTTCCCCCCTCACTGTAAATAATAAAAAGATGATGATGATGGAATAGGATTTCCCTATTTCCATTGGAGAGATGTTGAAGGGTATGCTAACCTCAAAAGACCCTGCCACAACAGTCAGTGAATGGGCTAAAAAAAACACTTTCAGCCTACTGGCAAAAGCAAAGAAGGTGGGGGCACAGCCTAGCCTCCTTTGGAAACAAGTTCCACCATCTGGTTACAGCCACTGAGAAAGTCCTCTCTCTCCACCAGGGAAGAGGTAGGCAGTTAAAATAAAGATAACATACCTCCAAGCTCAGATGGAATAAGGGGGGGGGGCACTTTTGCAGGTGATTTTACATGACACAGCTAGGTTAGCCAACAGGTGTTTGGCATCTAATGCCTTGGGTGTCTCTAATCCTGCCAAACTCCCAGCTTCCAAGGCAGTAGCATCCACATCCACAGCCGTTGGGATCAGGACGACAACACTTAGATAATGCAATTATAACACACAGGCACAGTCCAACTCTTTGGGAACTGTGGCCAAGCACATTTAACCAACCTGTCCTTTGCAACACCTCAGGTTTGGGAGATGCAATCCCTGTTTGTTTGTTTGTTTGTTTGTTCGCAAAGCTTTTTCTATTTGGCAGAGTCAGAGCTGTGGGCACGTTGAGATTACGTGGAAGCGTGGGAGTGGGGAGAAAGAGCACAGAATGCGATATTAGGAGTGGCTTCCTGAGCATCTGTTTTTGCTACCCAACTCCTAAGATAAGTTCCTAGCCTTTAAGTTCATGAAGAAATGCTTGAAAGTGTAGGCAATCCCTGTTGCTGAATCATAGAAGCATAATGAACAGCTGTAGGGCATTGGTGCCCATCACTACGGTCAGCAAAACTAGAATGAATTATGTAAAATAAGGGAATTTGCATGATTTACACAGCCTGGGCAAGTTCAACTCCAGCATTTTAATTCTGTTAGGATGGGAATGCACAGAGAATGGATACCAAGAAGGCCCTGAAACCTGGAGTGGAGCTATTTCAACATTCTCACGTGACACATCCTGGCTCCCAAATTGAGAGCTGCACATCAAAACTGAAATGGGAAGCAGCCCCACCCACAGTGGGCAGGCCTTGGCTTTCAGGCACCACAAGCAGGAAAACCACTAAACTGGCTGTTTGTGATGGGCATCAGCAATCTCACAGCAACCTGCCTCTCAGTAACATGCAATGGTTGTCTGGCTGTGATGATGGGCAGGGTGAGGGCTAGCAAGCAGAGACTGAATCCCAACAAGACAGAGGCACTATAGATGAGCAGTTGCTGTGGGTCTAGGAATTATACATATTGCCTGTTCTGGATGGGGTTGCAATCCCTCTGGTGCCAGCTGATGGGCGGGCGGGCTTTTTTTGGGGGGGGGAGTCCTTGTGGGCCAAACTGGACCCTCTGGAGGGCTAAAATTGGCCTACAGGCTGTAGGTTCCCCACCCCTGTTATAAGGAATGATTTACAGCTGGCATTTTTAGTATTGTTGGTTTTATTATGTATTGAGGTTTAACACGTTTTCTTTGCTACCTGCTCTGGGGCAGCTTTATGCAGTGAAAGTATGGGCTATGAATAGGTTGCATCCAACCAAGCTCTACTATGAGTAGTTCTATTTAAATTAATGAGCCTAAGTTTGCCATGCCCATTGATTTAAATGGATCTGCTCTGAGTAAGACTGCCCTGGGTACAACCCTAAGTTTTAAAATAAATACAGTGGTGCCCCGCAAGACGAATGCCTCGCAAGACGGAAAACCCGCTAGAGGAAAGGGTTTTCCGTTTTGGAGGTGCTTCGCAAAACGAATTTCCTATGGGCTTGCTTTGCAAGACAAAAATGTCTTGCGAGTTCCTGCAGGGTTTTTTCCCTCCCCCCCCCCCCTTTTCCCAAGCCGCTAAGCCGCTTAACAGCTGATCGCTAAGCCGCTTAACAGCTGATCCGCTAAGCCGCTAAACCGCTGATCCACTAAGCCGCTAAACAGCTGATCGCTAAGCCGATTATCAGCTGATCCGCTAAGCCCGCTAAGCCGCTAATAGCGCTAATCCGCTAAGCCGCTAATGGGCTTGCTTCACAAGACGAAAAAACCACAAGACGAAGAGAATCGCGGAACGGATTCTTTTCGTCTTGCGAGGCACCACTGTATGGGCAGCTTTATCAGAAGACCCTTATTTTTGCTACCTTCGCCAGGAGCCAAAGATAGCTCCAGGCAGAAGGGGGGAGTTGGCGAAGATGACAGCTTTGGGCTAGATGTCTTCAGCAGGCTAATGCTTGCCTTGCTTCTGTTGCTGCTGCCCATGGTCGTATCTTCCTCTTCCAGGCCCAATACACACTGCCAGCCAGGAAGAGGCTGCTGGTTCTCTTGCTTGCGCCTGTCACTGCACCCTGGTTCAGAGGCAGAAGGTGCACAGGCAGGAGCAGCAGCAACAGCAGCGCCAGAAGGCTCCAGGGCCAGCAGTGGTAGCCCCTGTTGAGGAACGGGCCTTGGCAGGGCCCCAGCCATGTCAAACCCTGATGCTGGCACTTGCAAAGAACTACTGGGTCATCATTCAACCCACCAACTGGGGTAGATTCAAAGAGTCAGGGCTCGGACCTTGTTATGCAGCTGAAAAACAGGAATGAAAATATGCAGCCACATTAGATTCTCATGAAGGTGAACAAGGAAGACAGTAAATCACTTCTGCATAGTGGGCAAATCTGAATTGCACCTGAATTCTTCAGTTTCTGATTTCATATCTCACTTGGGCTTAGGCTGTGCAACAATCTAATTAGTAGCAACACATTAAAGTGCTTACTAGAATGCTGCTGATTAAGACTTGCTTTTTTGCATACACTTTAATTACAACCATCTGTTAAAAAATTCTGTTTGGAACCTCAGCTATCTAATGCCCTTAAGCAACAGGATATGCTTGATACACAGTGTTCTTATCTGCACTCAGACTATTAACATTTGGAAGGCTTATTATTTCTGATTCTTCCAACTTCTGATTTCTGTGCTGCTTTTGCTGATGTAACATGTACAGGCGTTCCCCCCATGCGTGATCAACTCACAAGTGACCATGTATATGCACAGCGCTGTGAAATGATTAAATAATTCAGTTCTGTAAGGCGCTTTTTTCTTTTACAAAGTCCCCCATGATATTCTTGCAAGGAAGCTGGTAAAATGTGGGTTGAACGAGGTAAGTGTTAGGTGGATTTATAGCTGGTTGACTGACTGAACCCAAAGAGTTCTCATTAATGGTTCCTCGTCATCCTGGGGAAAAGTGACAAGTGGGGTGCTGCAGGGTTCTGTCCTGGGCCCGTTGTTGTTTGACATCTTTATAAATGACTTGGATGAAGGGACTGAGGGAATGCTCATCTACTTTGCAGATGGCACCAAACTGGAAGGGGTAGCTAATGACACAGAAGACAGAATCAGAATTCAAAATGACCTCAGCGTATTGGAGAACAGGGCCCAGGCTAACAAAATGGATTTCAATAGGGACAGAATTAAGGTCCTGCACTTGGGCAGAAAGAACCAGATGCACAAATATAGGACGGGGGACACCTGACTAACTAGCAATACATGTGAAACTAACTTAGGAGTCTTAGTAACGCACAAACTTAACATAAGTCAACTGTGTGATGCAGCAGCGAAACAGCTAATGCTATTCTCAGCTGCATCAACAGAAGTATAGTGTCCAGATCAAGGGAAATAATAGTACTACTCTATTCTGCCTTGGCCAGACCATACTTGGAATACTGTGTCCAATTCTGGGCACCACAATTAAAGAAGGATGTTGACAAGCTGGAAGGTGTGCAGAGGAGGGCAACCATGATGATCAAGAGTCTGGGAACCAGGCCTTATGAGGAACAGTTGAAGGAGCTGGATATGCTTCGCCTGGAAAAGAGGAGACTGAGAAGAGATAGGATAGCCATCTTCAAATACCTTAAGGGCTGTCACATGGAAGAGGCAGCAAGCTTGTTTTCTCTAGCCATGGAGGGTAGGACTCGAACCAATAGCTTCAAGTGACAAGAGAGGAGATTCTGACTAAACATACAGAAATTCTTTATGACAGTAAGAGCTGTTCCAACAGTGGAACAGTCTCCCTCAGGAGGTGCTGGACTTTCCTTCCTTTGAGGTTTTTAAGCAGAGGCTTTTGGATGGCCATCTGTCATGAATGTTTGAGCTGAGATTCCTGCATTGCCAGGGGTTGGACTAGATGACCCCTAGGGTCCCTTCCAACTCTACAATTCTATAATTCTGCGATTCTATGATCTGGCATCACAAAGAACAGTGGAGGTTTCTCCTTTGTAACTGTGCTCAGTAGCAACTGTTAAACACATCCGCTGTGAATTTGTCCTGAAGGAGGATACCAGCAACTATTAGCCATTAAAAATTAAACAAAACCTCCATGGTCAGAGCCAGTATACCTTTGTTTATTAGATGTACGGGACAAAATAACAGAAGATGCTGGGAGCAACATGAGTTGAAAGAGTTTTGCATGGGTTTTGCAATCTTTCAGATGAGCTTCAAGCAAAATTGGTTTATTTATTGCCCCTCCCCCCTCCCCAATCTCCCCAGGTCTTCAGGATGGGCAGGGTTAGCCTTTTAAATAAAATAAATAACACAGCTTCCTTAGACCAAGCGCCTCACAGCTCAATCCTAACTATGGATAAATTATTTTTAAATTAATGGCACTTGCTTCTAAGTGAACATTGCTAGAGAGATGCTTGTTTATGTGCAATTTTAAGCAGATTTCTCTGAAACTAAGCTTGACTGAAACCAACTTGACATACTTTCAAATAGTTGTTGGTATTGTTGTTTAAACTGCATTACAATGTTACTAAAAACAAAGCCATGGTTTCAGTGGCACCAAACTCCATGCTTTGGCTAGTTACAACTGGTGAGAATTACACAGTGTCTTCAGGGAGGCGAGAGTCACTAATTTCCATCCAAACCAAACATGAATTTGTCTAGTCTATAGAAAGGGGAGGATTCAAAAATTATATTGAGCTGGAGCACCTCAGTCAGTTCACTACTTGTACTCAACAAGGTATTCGCATGGAGTTACTTACAGAGAGGACTTCCGTCTTTTACACACCAGTTTTCTTCTGTAGCAGCCAGATAGAGACCTGAGTCATAGTCAAAGCCCAGGGAAGAACAGCAGTCACAATAATAGCACCCTGCATCGTTTAGACGTGATGACTTGAAGCTTAAATAAACCTTCTCTAGATAGAACAGACTCACTTATTTCTGCACATTGCATGATGTCTGCCACAAGCCAGGGCTCAGTCCTGGAATATGTGAAGAAATAAAGAAGACACACACCCTGAGCATGTGCAGAATGCCATTCCTTCATGTCTCATTAGTCCCTGCCTACTCCCGCATTGCTGGGGCCAGCAGACAAAACTTCCAGATCACACAAGCTGTCTTTAGAAATGAAGCACCATCCACAACTAGACCTCCCTATTAGAAGAGTTTCATATAGTGAATGGCTGCATTCGGGTGTCATGCTAAACCATGACTTATAGTGATTGGAACAAACGAGGTTTTCCTTGGGGCTAGTGTGCCCCACTTCCCTGTGGTGCTGCTATGCTGGTCAAGGAGATCAAAAGCTTCTGCTTCCATTTTTTCTTCCTTAATCACAGATTGGTGCTATGTCCAAATGCCCAAACTGTGGTTAATATTAACTATGGTTTGTTTAAGCAACCCTGCTTCATGCCCATGGACTGAAATTTAAACCATAGTTCACATGAAATATAGATTGGTCCAGGCCATAGTATATCATAGTTTATGGATTACTGTGGACATGGAGATCACTCCTGCTGTGCTCACTACATGAATGGGAGCAACAAACTATAATCCATGGCCTGGTGCTACATCTGAACCAGGGATTGTGGCTTGTTCATGAATACAAACTTTGGCTTGAGCAAAGTGGGAGCCATCTACACCTTCACGGCAAGCCATTAACTATGGTTTACCACAACCTGTGAATGCAGCCTGCCAGCCTTGCATGGAATAACAAGCTGTGGTTAATAAAGAACGAAAGTGAAAGCTTTGGATCACCTTATAACAGCATTGCAGGAAAAGGGGAGGGAGTGAGCTTGTGATTTGCCTAGGCTTATTCTCTTAATGATAAACAGTAGTTTAATGTAGCCTTCCCCAGCCTAGTAGCCTGAAGCATGCGGAAGGTGCAACTCTCACCCTCCCTAGCCATGCTGCCTGTGGGAGGTGCAGTAGAGGTCTGGAGGAAGTACAGTGGTACCTCTGGTTGCGAACGGGATCCGTTCCGGAGGCCCGTTCGCAACATGAGCAGAACGCAACCAGCGTCTGCACGTGCGCAGGTCGCAATTCACCACTTCCGCGCATGCGTGTGACGTCATTTTGCGTGTTTGCACATGCGGGAGCGGCGAAACCCGGAAGTAACCCATTCCGGTACTTCTGGGTCGTCGTGGCACGCAACCTGAAAACGCTCAACCTGAAGCAAACATAACATGAGGTATGACTGTATAGTGGGGTGGAGGGAAGCAAATACTGCACAGCACGTTATTGGCTGTGCTGCATGCTGGACCCTCCCCTAACTGAGGGTACAGTGTGTGCTCTGTCATCCAGTCCTTGAACCTGCAGGTGCTGTTGGTTTGTTTTAAATAAAATCTCCTCCATCCACAATGACTGTGTCAGGAGGATGCTGATCTGACTTGTGTAAGTGAAACCTGGGCAGATGAGCAGCAAGGAGTTGGGTTTTCCCCAGCTGGGTATTTTTTGCCAACCTGGGTATTCAGGGTAGCATGGGGGGGGGGCTTGGGGTGTGTGTCCTGTGATACTCTCTTTCTAAGCTTACCACATGACCAAATTCAAGTTCCGTGTGTAGAGGACATGTTAGGAGGCTGCTGCTATAATGCCCAGTTGTCTTCCTGCTTGAGCTGACATAGGCAGTCTCTATACCGTGAACCACTGAGCTGTTGGTCATGGGGGATTTCAATATTCATGCTGGATCTGGGGCAGCTGAGTACTTCATGCCTATCATGACAAAGATGGGGCCTTCCGAACATGTCATTGGTCCAATGCTTACAGCTGGACATGCTCTGGACAGGACAGAAAGAGGGTGATCTGAGAGTAGAGGATATTATCAACATTCCCTTTTCATGATCAAGTCACCCCCTGGTGAGATTCAGGCTGTCACTGTCCTTTATGTGGAGGAAGGGTATCAGTTAGGATGGCCCACTCTGACGGAAAGATGCCAACTACTACTACTACTACTACTACTACTACTACTACTACTACTTCCAGAGGCTGAGTCAAACAGATTACCAAACAGTTGGGGCTCCTACCTCCCCAGCTGATAGGACTGATACTCCTGTCTAAGTCCCATGGAGTGGAGAGGTGACCCAGGATCACTCCTACCTGATAAAGCCCAGATAGCTCTGTGGTACACCAGGGAGTAGAGGGTGCTCAAGCAGGTTGGGAGATGGCTTGAATGTGTGGAGGAAAACTCCAGACAAATGCAACTGAACTAGTATTCATTTATTATTGAGTCTGCTTAGTAGCAGTGAAGGAGGGAAAGAGTGTTTCTTTGCTTCTTCCATTGCATCCTTTATATGCTGTCCAGCGGAGCTATTCTGTTGCATTTAACAAATTGGCCTAAATGAGTTTTTGGAACCCACAGCGTCCTGCTATGTCTTGTTTGCAAGACATTTTAAGGATAAAATTGTATCTGCCAGGACTTGGACTCCACTACTGTAGCAGGTCAGTCTCAAGAGGTACCCAGAGTACTGTCTGGGCCAGTTTTGTTGGACGAATTGTAGCTGACATGGCTTGAAGTTGTGGACAATGTGTTGGTGGATCACTTGACTTCTTGCTCTTGCCCCTCAAAGCTGGTAAAATCTATGGGGGCGGGGCTTGTTAGGCAGGGAGGGGAGGGATTAATGCCTCGTTGCAATATGGAGCAGTCCCAGGCAACCTGAGATAGGTGGTGTTAAGGTCACTCCTGGTCAATATTCCCTGGACCAGAAAGATATGGACAAAATAGAAGAGTCACTCCTGTCCCTTTATTGTGCAAAGTTCTCAAGTGTGTGGTCACTAACCAGCAAAAGACAATCTTGGATGGGACTGATTTTCTGGACCATTTCTATTGGAGTTTGTTCCTGCTCTTGGCAGAAAAACTGCCAATATGATGACCTACGCTGGGAGTGATGGGAGTGTCACCCTGTTGATTGTCCTCCCAGTGGCTTTTGATACCATCCATCTTGCTATCCTTTTAGAGTTAAAAATGGGTGGTGCTGCCTTGTGGTGGTACCAGTTGTAGCTGTATGGTTTGCTCCAGAAGGTGGTGTCTTTGGGGGGTGGGTATTGTTTGGTCCCATGGAATCTCCAATGCAAGGTTTCTGCAATGTTCAGTTTTATCCCCCATGCTATTCTACATCATGCTGCTGAATGGAGATATTCAGAGTTTGGGAGTGTGTCATCAGTACTCCAATCCAGTTAAGGCCAGAGACACTGTTAGTGGGCAGTTCCTCAGTATGTACAGGGTGTGTGTGTAACCTGTTAGGATGGGATCACACTTCTCCTGAAGGAGCAGGTACTTAGCTTGGGGGTACTATTGGATCCATCAATGTCACTGCAGACACAAGTGGCTTGCATGGTGCAGAGCACCATCTCTCTGCCCTGTCTGGTGGCCCAGCTGCAACCCCATCTGGATTAGGATAGTCTGGCTTTGGTGGTCTATGATCTAGTAACCTCTAGTTAGATTACTGCATTATATGTTGAGCGGCCTTTGAAGATAGTTTAGAATCTGATGCTTCTGCAAAATTATTGACTACGACCAGCTAGCCCAATGGGGAATGGTGCTAACAAGCCAAGAGAGGAGGTTGGAAGAACCAGAAGATGACCCCTGACCTGTCACAGAGAACTTGGCACTGCTTCTGCCATTGGCAGCAGACCCACACCCCTGGAAGAAACATGTTCCTTGAAGTGCACCAGTCTCTTAGAGAGTATTATGAGTGTGCTGTGTCTCGCCTTTAAAGGGGGGGGGCATGATCAGTTGTAATGTCTTCAAAGCTGCCGCCTGGTCTTGGACCCCTGATGTCATTCTTTAACTCTTTAGCTATACATTCTGTTAACTTAACGTGACGTGTACCATTGCAAGCCTTGAATGAAGCTTATTTTCTTACTCACACATAAGCATTTGAGTGGGAGCCTGGACCATCTTTCTACCTACGAGCCTACCTAGACCCCATGACAATAATCTCAGGTTCTTCTTAGCACACCACCTCCAAAAGAGGTTTGCAGTGAGAGAACAGGCCTTTCCAGTGGTAGCTGGCCCCCAACCCTGCAATCTGCCTGTCACCAACACTGTTATTTTTATGGCACTAGGGGAAGACATTCTTATTCTGCCATGTATTTAAGCACTGATACTGTGCTGGGTCTTTTGAGGTTTTTCTAGTAGAAACTGGTGCTTACCCTGCTGCTGAATGGGGAAGAGTGGTTTTGTATTCTGACTTATTTTTGTGGGTGAATGCTTCAGTGTAATTTTTAAATACAGTATTTTCTATGGGTTTCTTCAGAACTTCTTTGCAGGAAGCAAAATGCAAATAAGTAAGTAAGTAAATGATAAAAAACATCTGCTTGGCACAGGGCTGGGAAAGACTTGTTTATCATGACATACAAATGCAGCCAGCAAGTGGTATAGAACAGGACACAGAATGGATGCAACCTTTTGTCCTAGAAACCAAAAAATTGCCACTTCTGAGAACAGATAATTCAATTTATTCCACAAAAAGAGCAGCAGCTCAAGGCACACCAAGGCACCACCCTGCTACTTCCATTTATAACTTTGCTTGAACCAAACAAATTTTAAATGAAAATAGTCACATTAGCATTAACATAAAAACATTAGTAACACTTTTTGTATGGCTGTGAGATTTTGTGTGTTAGGGTTAAATTGGGGGAGGATAGTTGGGGATTTTTAATGGTAGTTTAGTCTGAAATTTATTCTGTTCAACTCCTTGATTTTTAAATTCTTATTAAATGATTTTTTTATTAAAATGGTGCCAACTTTATTTTAGAAACGTACAAATACATGTCAAAAAAAAGGAGGGGGAATAAAAAAGAATCAATAAAACTAACATGGGGAACTGCCAGACTATCTGTCCACACAACCCAGTATTGACAGACTGACTGGAGCTCTCCAGGGTTTCAGTCAGAGAAGGATCTTTCTCCTTCACTTGCTATCTAATCCTTTTAACTGAATATGCTGGGGGGACTGAACCTGGGACCTTCTGCATGCAAAGGTATGTGCTCTACAAGTAAGCTATGGCCACTTCCTGGAGGACTGCTTCCTTCGAGCTGAAATCTAAATAAATACATATAGTTATGTATTTCACTTCTCCAACTCTGCTCCCTTCTACATGGGAAGACATGTTCTACTTGAACACTAGCTTGTGAAAAGTCACCTGTGATGGAACTGATATGGCTCAGAAAGTCAAAGGTTATTGGGCACCCCACTGCTAGTGCAAATAACAGAATTCTGAATTACACAGAGCTCTTCCAAAAGGTAGCGATTAAAAGCTCTTGCTTGCTGAAGAATTTTGTGCTGCTCAGAAGCCTGCTTCCCTCAAAGTCACATAATAAATATTGCCATAACTATTTTATCTCTCTAGAAATGGTAATGATTGTGTTCAGAACCCTTGATTTCAATCAACTATGCCCCCTTGATGGTTCAAGGCACAGACCATCTCTAAGCAGCTGCAGCAAGCTGAGCTAAATAGCTGGCATCTCTTGAGCTATTCTAGCATACATGCTGCATTTTTCTGTGCTGTAAAGTCAAAGCAGTGGAAAGACAAACTGGGCCTTTGTTCAGACCACCACGTAGCTGAGCTTCAATACATTTCCACCAGCATTTTGTCTTCAAATTTCCCACAGGATATAAGGATGAAAAGCACTTCTATCATCTTTGAGCAGGAGCACAATCAAATTTTAACTCACAAGCTAACTAACCCCACCACATGTAGGCTTATAAAAATATTTCTACACTCACTAGGAGGAAGGTGTGGTGGCAGGAAACTATAATAAAAATAATGGCATTAGGGTGACAAGTTTTGCAAGGATCTAATTTTAAAGCGACCACCTCTGCATACAGAGTACAATGTTAGAAATAGTAATTTTGAGAGTTTGATCAGGTTGCTTGAAATCAGGGGTGGGGAACGTGTAGGGCTCCTAGGCGTTGTTCCACTATAACTCCCATCATTCCTGACCACTGCTCACATTGGCTGGGGCTAATGCAAGTTCAAGCCCAAAGACACCAGGAGGGCTGCAGATTCTCCATCCCTGATTTAAACTCTCATGAGGACAATCAGACGAGGAGGCAAATGGTGGTGCCTTTTGCCTAGAATGAAAGGGCTGCTCCGAACACACCAGAATTCCCACATGAAAAACACTTCCATGTGTGAAACAGCATACAATGCACACATAGATCATCACATGTGACATAAACACAATACACATGTAGCCTGGAAGCAGTGGCATGCGTTGTGTACTGTTTCTTTGATAAATATTTCCCATGTACAGAAGTTATCATGTCTAAAGCAGTCCTTTGGGGGCATTTAGCAACCTGGCTTAACTGTCTGCTTGTGTGCATATACTTGACCCGAACATATTAACATGCTGGGCATGCGACCTCACACTTTTTAAAAATCTGAGCTCTGACTGCAGAATCCTGCAGATACATTTTGTGCAACCTGAAAGCTCATACCCAACATTTTAATCATCTGGGGGCAGGGGGTGCTCACATAGTTCTTCTCAAACTTTCCAATAACCAGGGAAAAAAGAAGATGACAGAACAGGGCTAGGGGATAGGAACATAGCGCCTGTCCTACCATTAGGCAGACTAAGGCAGCCAACCTAGGCAACTGCTTCTGGGTATCAGAAAAGGGCAACAAATTGCTAATTATTTTGTTTGTTGCAATTTCACTGTGAGAAAGAGGGAGAAACAGTTTTGGGGATTTCTTCCTCGAGTGCTCCATTGGTCCTGAGTACTATGCATCAAGATCCAGTGTGGTTAGGGAGAAGAGACATCATCTGCCTTGGGCAGCAGAATAACTTAGGCTAGCCCTGGGAGGGTGAGATGAAACAAAGTGATGTGTTTCAACGGTGTACAACACATACACGACCCTTCTTCTTTTGAGGGATAAAGTTCCCCTTATTCCTCATACAAACTCTTGCCCCAAGAGAGGAGGGGGGAATTAGTGTGTGTGAGGCACCCACCCAGGGCACCCCACCCCTGTGCAGCCCAGCTATCAATACTGGGGAGAAAAACATAAAGGGTCCCTTGCCAAAGGCCCAACTAGTGCAGCTGCCTGTTTCTCGCAGCAGCTAGCCAGAAGGGCTCCCCAGCCCGCAAGCAGGACACAGGCGCACAGCAGCACTCGCCCAGCTCACCACCAGCAACCCATCGGCCCCCAGTGACCACGACCCGTAGGGCAGCCTTGTTCCCGAGAGGGACTGCTGGTGGGGGGCCCAGCCAGTGTGTGCATTGGGAGCGGGGGGCTTCTCTCTTTCTCCCGACCCCACCGACCACCAATACTTTTTTGAAGGGGGAGGGAGGGGGAAATGACATCAAAGACAACAACTCCCCGCGCCCCCCCCTCAAATAATCGCCATTCCCTTTTCTTTCCTTTGGGCTCTGAGTGGGGGGAGGGGGGAGGGTGATGACCCACACTGAATGGAAGCCCCCTCCCCGCACAGCAGCCGGGGGGCGGGGGCGGGAACAAACACTGCAGGGGAGTGGGGAGTGGAGGGTCGCCCTTCTTCGCCGCCCCCCCCCCGCTGGGAACGAGCCACGCCCCCTCCCCTCCCCCCATTTCACCCCCTCGGCCCGCGGGGTGAGAGGGCAGAAGGGGGGCGGGGCCGCCTTCCGCCTCACAGCCGCCGCTGGGCCCCCGCCCTCCCGGGCCCCCTACCTGCAGGAGGGCCCGGGATCTCCTCACACCCCCTCAGGGGCGCACCCCGGAGCAGCCCAGCGGCGGCGGCGGCGACGGCGCCTCCTCATCGCGGTGACAGCCGGGAGCCCCGCCCAGATCGGGCCCGCCCCACCTCTCGCGAGGGTTCGCCTCGCAGCCGCGGCCCCGCCCACCTCCAACCCGAAGTCACGTGGACGGAGGCGCGCTTGCTCGGAACGGATAGAGAGAGAGAGGATAGGAAGAAGCGTCAGAAGGGCATACCACAGAGATGAAGCGCCCAGATGGGACCGGTAGCGACGATAGATACAGCGCAGCGACGGCCGCTCCTCGTTCCAGCTCGCCAGCAGCTTTGCAACGCGCGTGCGCCCTGCGCAGAAGTGAGGCCGCCGGGCGGAAGAGGCGACGTGCGCCGCGGCTGCGCTTCCTGTAATTCGCGCACGTTCGCACAATCACAGAACGATAGAGCGTTAAAGGGACCCCCCGAGGGTCATCTAGCCCACCCCTGCACTTCACCGCAGCAGAAATATTCGGTCGTGGCTGGTTTTAATTTCCTTTGCTACTCATTTTGTAGCTATACAGTACAATCCTCGTAGGAGTCTTGTGGGGATTAAGCGAGGAAGAGGAGAACCATGTATTATTATTACCTTGAGTTCCCCGGAGAATAGAAATAAACGAATAAATTTAGTAATATTTATCATTTCTGTCATACAGCTTTGCTTTTCATCCGCTGTTATAATTGCTCTCTCCGTTTTACATAAACTAAAAAATGAAACGGGGGGAAAGCTTTATGAAGAAAATATAGTACTGTATTCCCTCGCCACCCTGTTGTTTTTAAAAGATAAAAGTATTGACAGGCGCCTCCTGCTCATCCTTCAGTGTTTCTCCCCATACATTTGTAGCTCGATTCTGTCTGGAGTGGCAATATAGAAATGAAGAGGGAGAAGATTTGGGGAACACCCACATCATACATTTAAAGCACATGACTCCCCCCCCCCAAAATATATATATATATAATAATCCTGAGGACAGTAGTATGTTAAGATGGCTGAAAACCATAGCTTCTGTGAGGGTAAAACTACAGTTCCCAGGTTTAGGGAGGGAGGGAGTTGTGAGCTTTTAATGGTGTGGATCGGCCTCTGTATTTAAAGCAGGTGGGGAGGAGTGGGAGAAATAAAAGAGGGTAACCCCTGAGGTCCTGAAGTTGGAATACAATCATCATCATAATAATTTTTATTTATACCCCGCCCTCCCCGGCTAACACCGGGCTTAGAGCAGCTAACATCAAATGTATAACACATTAATATATCACAATCAGATTGTGGCACTGGATATTTAGTAAAAGCTTACGATTTCTCTTCACACTAGTGATTGATTTCTAGTAAGACAGCATACTGTTGAAAGGATATACAGTGGTCCCTCTGGTTGCGAATAGGATCCGTTCCGGAGGCCTGTTCGCAACATGAAAGGAACGCAACCAGCGTCTGCGCACGCACAGATTGCGATTTGCCGCTTCTGCACATGTGCGCGACGTCATTTTGCGCATCTGCGCATGCGCGAGCGGCGAAACCCGGAAGTAACCCTTTCCGGTACTTCCGAGTCGCCGCGGGACGCAACCTGAAAAAACGTATCATGAAGCAAACGTAACAAGAGGTATGACTGTATATCGAGAGCTACTTGGGTGTTTTGTAGGATCAAGTCCCTACTTTCACTTTTGTTATTAGTAGTCTCTCGGTTGTCAGATCGACCGGTTACACCCCTGTGCACAGTGGTCTTGGGGGAGTGCAACACTACGGTCAGTCTCTTTAGTATTGAGGGAGCTATTTCTGGCCGCCAGAAGCACCAACTCAGCCAGGAGTGACATTACCTTTTCTAGTTTGGTGTTAATTTCCTCCACTGTTCTTGCAGTCAGCAGACAGTGGTCGGCGAGTATTCCCGCATAGAGTGGTGCCCTCTCGGGTAGTAGTTCAAGAGATGGTTCATGGGCGTTCATCTCAGCGTTCTCCCCTGAGTGGTCTCCACCCATTAAAGCGTCCCCACCTATCTAGGAATGAACTCTGCTTGATGTGGTAGGTGCTGGATTCTGGGCTCTCACAAAATCATCCAGTTAACTCTGCTTGCACTTCTGCTATGGGCTCACTTGTGGAGATGAAGCCAATGGCTTCTTTTTCTTAGACATTTTCACAGAGATGCAGCTGCTGCTACTTTCAGCTGTAAATCAGGAAACTCGGAATCCTTCCAGGATTCCAGCGTTTGATCTCCTCTCCTGCTGATAAGTAGTTGGTAGATTGAGTCGAGCTGGAGCTAATTAAGGCTTTCTCTGGGATGTTGCCTAAAACTTTTAGCTTGAACTTTGTGATTAAAATAATTAAGAAAAAGATACCGAGTGATAAAATACTAGAATACTAGTAAAAGCTAATAAAATGCTGATAAAACTAATAAAACCTCCTTTGGGGAGGTTCTCAGGCAGGGTGGAAGGAGAAAGAACTTGCCCATGCGAAGACCACCAAGTGGAAACCCTTACACATATCGTTCTCAATTGTAAACTATATGCTGATCTCTGTCAGCAATTTCTAGATCAACTCTGTATCCCCAGATGGAAACCAGAGTCGGAGGTCATACATTTTCTATTACTGGGGAATGATCAGGAGCTAGTGGCTAAATATCTCTATTTGGTTTTTTGTCATCGAAATACACTGCAGACATCTGATCTCCCTGGAGACCAAGAGATGTGACGATAGACTGCTCTGCCTCCTTCCTTTGAGCAAATGTTTTGTGCCAATGGGGAAGTGGTAATTCTGTATTGATTTGTTTTGGATGTTTGTATGTGATGCCAATAAAAGGTTTGATAATGATGATGATGATGATGATATTAATATAAAAACAGACAATCGATTTAAAATACATCCTAAAATCAGATCAGGATCAGAATAAAATCCAATCAGATGGCAATTCGCAGATTAGGCTTGGGGACCTTAAATGCTCACCAGGCCCAACTGTTTGTGCTGAACTTATATGAGCCTGTAGTGGTCTGGAGGCACCAGCCTATATCTGAAATACAGTGGTACCTCGGGATGCGAACAGGATCCGTTCTGGAGCCCCGTTCGTATCCTGAAAGGAACATAAGATGTGATGGTGCGTCTGTGCGTGCACGGGTAGCATTTTGCCGCTTCCTCGCATGCGTGTGACATCATTTTGAGTGTCTGCGCATGCGCGAGCGGCAAAACCTGGGAGTAACGCACTCCGTTACTTCCGGGTTGCCGCGGAGTGCAACCCGAAAGCACTCAACCTGAAGCACATTCAACCCGAGGTATAACTGTACTATGGTGTTTTTTTTAATTGTCTTCTTAGGGACCTGAATGGATTTGGATACAGCATGTGAATAGGAAGAAAAAATATAATTAAAAGGAACATAACTGTTCACTAAGTGCTGTTGAAAATTAATTTATGGTGCTCATACATTTATGAGAAGCAAAATTTTAACACAACACTCATGGCGATTCTTCATATGTAAGTCAAACTGGGATTTGCTTCTTAGCAAGTGCATTTAGGGTTTCAGCTGTAAACTCCCAACTCTTTTTTTCTTAAGAAATTGGTGCATTGAAATGGCAATATTCATTGAAATGTGAAGCTTATAGATCAGGAGGCACAACTTTAAAAAGCAACATCAAGGAACTTCTAACTAGTTAAGGAAACTGGTTTGATTTGTGCAAAAAGACCTCTCTTCTCTGTGCAAAACTATGTGTTCCAAAAGAGTTCAGCATGGTTTGCAGCCCTTTCAGTTCATTCAAGAGCATCAGAAATATGTCCTTCAGCTGTGGGAAAACTTTATTTTCACTACAAGTCATTTGGAGGGGGATTGGAAATGCAAGTCAGCTGGCGAGTCAGCCAAGAAAACAGGATATCAAAGCTGCCATTCCCATAATTATGCCCTGAAGACAAAGCAGGTAATGAAAGACAACTTGTAAAAATTAGCACTTAACACAACTCTTTTACAATGGGCTGGAGAGAGGAAGATAAGCCTTTAAACAGGCAGTAGGACACCACTCAAATACAGACTTTTCTGTTAAGCTAGAGCTTGTAGCATACCAAAAAATTGACATCCAAATTTACAAAAAAGCCAAAACCAGCAGATCACATAAGACAGAAAGCCTAGGTCAGTTTAAGGCTGTGAACACACATTATGGGCTGCAGGTGGCGCTGTGGGTTAAATCACAGAGCCTAGGGCTTGCCGATCAGAAGTTTTGGCTGTTAGAATCCCCATGTGCTTGGTCCCTGCTCCATTGCTCAGTCCCTGCTCCTGCCCACCTAGCAGTTCGAAAGCACGTCGCAGTGCAAGTAGATCAATAGGTACCACTCCGGCGGGAAGGTAAGCGGCGTTTCTGTGTGCTGCTCTGGTTTGCCAGAAGCGGCTTAGTCCTGCTGGCCACATGACCCAGAAGCTGTACTCCGGCTCCCTCGGCCAGTAAAGCGAGATGAGCGCCGCAACCCCAGAGTCGGTCACGACTGGACCCAATGGTCAGGGGTCCCTTTACCTTTACACACATTTTATTTTGCATTTCCAGTGTGCTCCCACTGCTGGTTTGGGAAGCAGTGCGTCGTTCTATTTCTTACAAAGTGCTGTGTTTTGATGCCTTTCCCCACAAACCAGCTTCAACCCAAATTGAGAAAAAATAACAACTTGTATATGTTATAAGCTGGTAATGTCTACACAGCCTCTGTTACTGTATAAACTGTGTGTATACTGTATTTTGTCAGGATAGATGGAGCTGACTAGAAACAAAGGTTGTGGCAAACTTTTACAACAACAGGGGGGAAAGGACATGGCACTTAATGCCAAAATTGGCAAGGTGCTACACGACATGATCAAGGCCAGTGCCTCTGCAAGAACATCCAACTTGACCAGTAACAGCAGCCGTTGCATCAGATTCCTGTTGGATAAAGCATCGAGGACCCCACAGCAAAGCTATGCGCCATACAAAAGCAAAAGCTGCCTCAAAATAGAACCAGATTGGCTGGAAACTTGGGGCATTGTTAGATAATGTACCATAGCGCAAAAACGTGGTTTCAAACCATGGATGCTCGGGGTTTTTGCATTGGCCCACCTCTAGCTCACTATCGAATCACAC